ACCACTATTTCGTATTGTTTCATGCATGTTGGGTATGTGGATAAAGAAATGGAGCAGAATTCGAGGAAGTGCCTGCCAAAATGCTTGCACGTGTGTATGTTTCTGCCAATTTCACTGCTTTTGGAGCCGAATTTCGAGCATTATCCGCCAAGCCCAAGGGCTAGTACTAGTAGCTTTGGACTCAGACACCTACAGTCATGGACATGTATATTGTATGGTATTAAATAACCTAACTCTGGTTAAAAAACCAGTATTAGATAAACCTTCAAGGCTTGTTATAGTTCACGCAATTGGTTAGATTGACAGCATGAAACAAGGTGGAGGACACAGTGTTCGGAAACAGTGACCGCGGAAGGTTGTAGTAAGGTCACTGTTTCCGAACACAGTCTCCTCCACCTTGTTTCATGCTGTCAATCTAACCAATGTATATTGTACTACCCTAACCCACCAGGGGGGTTATGTACTCTTCGCACTACTGGAGTACTGCTAGGTCTACAATGACATAAACACTGTATGACACTGACTCACGTGATCACGCTGCTATCTGGTGTTCACGACTCGTGAACACGAGGTGTTTGTCGCGCTGGAAACGGAGCGTCTCTGTAATAAAGGCGTATCCCTGGTGATGTTTTTGCCTTGACTCTAGAGTCTGATGATGAGGGGCGAATTCCCCGAAGCACTGTGTATTGAGCAGGGAGTGGTGCCTTCTTGCAGGTTTGCTGAGTTGAAGCCTTGAAGGTTCGATGGACATCTCGTGTGCTCTGGATGGCAGTCGTGAGTCAGTCAAGTGAAAATTCAAGTCGGCAGGAAAAGCGTGAGCTCCCACGTAGGGAGCAACACACAACTCCCCAACCTGGTCCAAGTATCGCCGAAGTCGCACCAACCTCTTCTTCACACTGTATGACGAATGACCATTTTGTGTAGACGTTACAAGGAGGAAAACTACCGTGGAATCCCGCGGATAAGCCCATGCCCGCGCATAAGGCCAGGGTTTGTTCGAACATCACAAACCTTCATCATACAAGCCCATGGCGCATGGCATGCCATGGGCTTAGGTCATGCCGAGAGTCCATAAATTATGGACTCTTGGCCATACCTTGTACGTAGTAGTGTACTATATGCACATTAGTTTTTTTCGTACATTTCAGCACAATCATCGATAGTTTTTGTTTGCACAGTGGTTTTCAGCAATGTACTTCTCACTTCCTTGATACTTTTCAACAGCACAATTACAACTTGGTGTCGGCGTATAAGCCCATGCCCGCGTATAAGCCCATGTTCTCGTATAAGCCCACCGAAATGTCCTTGTGAAACATAATATTATAACTTATAAGCCCATGGGCTTATCCGCTGGATTCTACGGTAACTTCCTTCTGCCAGCGGAGAGGGCTCAACACAATAATGTGGAGCACTAGTACGCACAAAAGGCACAATGGAGGTTTACAGATTTGTCGCAACTCTAGAGCCAATGCTAACGTTAAAATTGTTCATGAACACAAACACCTTGGTGTTATATTCGACAGCCATATGTCCTGGTCCCCACAGGTCCAGTCAGTATGCAAGCGAGCTAGCTCCTCCCTTGGCATGTTGCAACCTCACTGCCACCATTTAAATGACCATTGCCGAAAATTGTTCTTTACGTCGTATATTCTACCTATATTTGATTACTGTGACACAGCGTGGTGCGGTCTGTCTCAGGCCCTTGTTCAAACTCTGGAAATACACCAGCGTCTGCTTCTAAAAATCCTGTTTCGCAAAAATCAAACATTCTCCTCCCAACGTCTCTACAGTTTAGCTTCAGTATCTCCCCTCTTAGAGCGACACCAGCAACATCTTTGCATCCTTGTAGGCCTTGACAGATTATGCTAGCATAATTTTTCGCATAATTCCTACCAAAATCGAATAATCGCATAATTCGAGGCAAATTGCATACGAATCGCATAAAACTGGAATAATCCGCCTGTTCGCATCAAATTCCATACAGTTGTACATGTTCTACAAGTACAAGACTTAGTACAAGTAGATGCACCAGGAAGTCGTAGGTTTACGACTCCCTTGATAACATGTCCAGTCCACGACAATCAGTTGCGGTCGTAGCTAGGTCGGACGGTGCTTTGACCCCGTTGAACCTTTGCTTCTACAGTACAACGCCCTCTACAAAAAAATTCCCCTGTTATTTTGCACAGAACCATTATACATTAGCAGCATATGTGAGCATAATGCGGCATAATATGATAACTTTTAGCATAAAAATAGCATAATTCTGCAATTTTTTCAGCAATGCGAAAAGAATAATTTCACGAAAATACTAGCATAATCTGTCAAGGCCTACATCCTTGTACACATGATCTTATTAGACCTGGCTCCCAAACACTTTGCTAAGTATAACTGGTTTGTGTCCACCAGATCAACACGTCATTCCTTCTCATTACCCCGAGCCAATACCTCCCTGTTTCTGAAATCTCCTATCTTCTCTGCGTACACTCTCTGGTCTTCCCTGCCAACTAGCCTTAATTAAAGCATGCACAGACATTAAGGAGTTCAAGCTTCAGCTTCTTCGTCCTAAAATCTCACCATTTTCGTCATGCCTCCCCTTGCAGTACTCTCTTTGTTTCTCTCCTTATTATTCAGTTCGCCGTGGTTGGCTACCACCCGACTTCTCATATATATTGGCAGTCTTCTGACGAGCCAGGAGATGTTGAATTAATAATAATAATAATAATAATAATAATAGCAATGAAAAGTATGAATGCCGCAGACATCACCACGCAACATGACAATTTGTTCAAGGTTTGGTTTTGTGTGTTTCCAAAATCGATTTTCACGTTCCGATCATCAGTGGAAATACGGAACTAAAGAGATCAAGGGAAAAACAAAGGTTAAAAATCCAAAGAAGTGTGACACATGACGGGTAACTTGTGGTAAGTTTTACAAAAAGTGAGAACTAAAATAAAGAGTAAGTGTGACAAACGGGCATGAACAGTGCAGAAACAACTCATGAACACGGGGTGCAAACTCACGAAAATAACCTAAGTGCTAAAACATGTTCTTTTTGCTTACATAGCACTTAGGTTATTTTCGTGAGTTTGCACCCCGAGTTCATGAGTTGTTTCTGCACTGTTCATGCCCGTTTGTCACACTTACTCTTTATTTTAGTTCTCACTTCTTGTAAAACTTACCACAAGTTACCCGTCATGTGTCACACTTCTTTGGATTTTTAACCTTTGTTTTTCCCTTGATCTCTTTAGTTCCGTATTTCCACTGATGATCGGAACGTGAAAATCGATTTTGGAAACACACAAAACCAAACCTTGAACAAATTGTCATGTTGCGTGGTGATGTCTGCGGCATTCATACTTTTCATTGCTATTATTAAACTTTTATCTCCACGTAGATTATTTATAATAATAATAACTCAGAGTTTCTTGCATACCGTATTACGACTCCCTGGTTTCTTGCTCAATGCAATCATCAGCCGACTATTACATGTTCAGTGGGGCTTGGCCAATATAGCATAATTATTTTGTGTAGACGTTAAATCCGTGTAGACGTTATGACATAGATCTACATTGTACAATGACACAGTCGTAGACGTCTAGACGTAGGGATGCAGAATGCTTATGCCTCAGGCTCAGCACTATGTAGACCTACAATGTAATGGCTAATCAGATGCGGTTCGTCAGCGATCAGTCAGCGCATCACGAGATCACGCTGTGCGGTGGACCTGCTGATTTTGAATTTTTCTCCAGATAGAATCTGACTGGAGTCTAGCTGCAGATCCTGTCAACATGGTCGGCTAACTGCTTAGTTTAGCCTTTTCGGCTTTGTAGGTCTCTGGCGGCACTACTTGAAGAAACGGATACCATTCTAGTGTTTGGAAAGATCACACTAACGGCTAGTTACGTTTAGCTCTTGTCTTTTCCATAGTGTAGATCTACACTAGACCGCACACTGATTGATTCTTAGACGCGGCTTCCATCGGGGTTAGAGCGGGGCATAGCCAGCAGAGCTAGAGAGCGCATAGCGGTTTCCACGGGACAGAAATCGAGATGTCCAGCAACAGGTGAGGATTATTGGGGGTCGGAGCAAGTAAGACAAGAGTCGATGGAATCGATTCGGTGGGACCACTCCAAGTGCATGTACTCAGAAATTGCGTCTTCGTGTATGAAACAATCCAATCCTATTCTGCACTGCAGGCGACCGTCAAGTGGTGGCTGTTCAGCCGATGGCTCGGCCAACCAGGTGAAAGCTAGCAAGCCAAAAATTCAAGTGAGTATGTGCTGCCAGCCCCACGCGTACAATTTGAATATAATTGCTGGGAAGTATCAATGCACTGATCGGCGGATGGCCATACTGTGTAGGCTACTGTCTGTAGATACAAGTGCAGTTCCGGAGGACAAGAATTTTTACGTTCCCTAGAAATACATGTCCAATCATGCATTGAATGACACCATAATGCTCAGCTATGGAAAGGAACGGATAAAGCAGTGTGGAATGCATGTTTGTCATTATTGGCTGGATTAAAGAAAAAAATTAATAAATAATAATCATGTGAAATGTTTCTAGCCAAGTAGCGTTTGCGCAGAGCATCATTCAGACTTTCATGACTTCGTTGTAGTGTGGCGATGACTGCAGAATTTGTTCTTTTTATTGCTATTATAAAATTGTTGTCTCCACGTCGATTATTTGCATATTTTAAACGGAGATACTCTAGGAGTCAGGTTGAAACCCTAAATAATAATCACAGTGTACATACATGTGCATGTACCTACGGAAGAACGGGAAACAAAACAAACAAAAAACAAACAAGAATGGGTGTGTATGTGCTACATGAGCTGCGCTGGTGAGGTCCGGCGGGCTCCCCTGACCAAGGGTCTCGGGATCGGCGTACACAGCAAGCACCGTGGGAGAGGGGGGGGGGGGGAGAATGACGGAGAGAGAGAGAGAGAGAGAGAGAGAGAGAGAGAGAGAGAGAGAGAGAGAGAGAGAGAGAGAGAGAGAGAGAGAGAGAGAGAGGTCCGCTGATCTTCACTTCGCTGCACTAGTAAGAAGAGCATGCTCAGATCACTGCTATGAACCTGAAAGTGCAATAGTGTAGTAGTTGATACTGGGTGTGCCCTTGGCAGATAAGCTCACAAAGCATTGAAAGTGGCAGAACCATGCTAATCATACAGCGGACAATTCCGTTAATTCTGTTCCTCTTCCCCCTGCACATACAATGTACATGTACAATACTTGCATGGAACACCCCAGAGAAAAATACCAAACTCTGCGTATTTTCTGCCAGCATTATCCACCAAAGGCTAACTGGGTTGCCTTTGTTGCTGAGCTCTCATCGTGCTCATCATGATGATGCACTACAGTACTGCCAGGCGCCGAAGAACGAACAGCGTGGAATGTCACCAAGCACAGCATAGCAATGACTGTGTACACGGTGACTCAACTCACTGTATAGACTGTAGTACATGAAAATAGGAAAGGTCTACAAGGCTACGAAGCCGACCCCCCAGTTCTTCGGCGACCGGCGGACAGACAGTACTGGACTGGCATGTGTGTTGCATGTTGGGCATGCCATGCCTGACACTAGCGTATCGGAGGGAATATTGTGTGGCGGTCTGTTTGCATTACAGAGAACGCCGTCGCGTCCCAGCAGCCGCCTTGCAGCCTTGCCGGCAGAAGGTAACACAATATTGCACTGTGGATGCGGACAAAACTTGTTGCACTGCGTTTTGATTGTAGTTCTGAAGTGCAACATGTTATTTACACGACTTTGCATCTGGATGTGAAAAGGGGTACTTGAGCAGAGAATGAGTATTGGAAAGGCCCTTCAGCAAAACTACAGTTTTGGCTGGCTCATGGAAAGATGAGGAGTGATCACTTCGCCGCACAGGTGGCTGACAGTGTGCCGGCACTGCGCTTAGCAATTGCCATGAACTGGTCCTAATTGCCATGCATGCACAGGCTGATCATGATATGGTTAGTGTAATCCCCATGCAACTCCTGTCGTACACTGTCGTAGTTACTGGTTAATTGTCATGGGTACTGCTCCACTTTAGTGTCCAGGCCTTCTCAGTTGTACCAGGGAGTAGTAAAATACCGGTATTTTACTACTCTCTGGTTGTGCCAACACACTGGGAGAGTACACCTGGAACAGTACTGTAGCTGTTGGTTGCCATGGTAACGTGGCTTGCCCTGCACTGCTGTACTGTAGGAAAGGCGAAAGATCAAGCTGCGACTGGAGCACATCGGCACTGCTGCGGAAAGGCACCGAAACACGGCGGCACCATACTCGGAGCAGCGAGAAAGAAAGATTCGTTCGATGAAGCCAACACAACTGCGGCCATGCCTCCTGTTGCCTCAGCAGCAGCAGCAACAGCCACTGTCGAAACACCCAAAGAACCCAGCCCGGATCAGTTAGGTACAGGGTCAAAGTACCCGTACCGGACGGACCCGATTGGTTACCTCCAGTTCATCCAACATCAGGCCAATCTCCTTCACACACTGCAGCAGCACAGAATGAAGACATCCAGTGCTGGAATGGCCACGGGGGAATCCCCTACATCCGACACAGAAGACGACAGTGATGACGACGATGATGATGACAATGAACAGGAGGAAGGTAAGAGGGAAATCACGTTAACATATCGTCTCGTTAACCTATGGATTTTGGACAATCGTTAAATTTGCGAATCGTTATAATAACATGTCTTACAGTGCATTGTGATTATGCCCACATTGGCCTATGCTGTCTGGCGGAACTGATAGTGGGTTATGACCTTGTGGACTTGGATTTTGCAATAATTGTTCAGTCACAGGGAAAGTCCGGACTTTCCCTTTCACAGACCCACGCCATATTGGATATCACGGGAATGCCCAAGTGAAGAAGCTAGAATAAAAATAAAAACAAAAAAAAACTTTCCCCACTAGTTTGTACTCAAACTTATGGACTGCCAATAGAAATACTTCGAAGTACAAGTACATGTATGTTATACAGGCAGTACTTCTTTGAAGTAAAAGTAAATTTGTAAACAACAATCATGATACCTATGCTGCTGTCTACAGTACATGTCGTAGCTTAGGCTAAACTATGGGTAGCAAAAGGCCATTGTCGAGGTGTTGGCCTGAATGATTCCAGGAATACTGTTTTCACTTCAGTATTATAATTATCTTGATCAATGTTGTTAGTTTGTGCGACAGTACACACTGTAACATATGATACTGGCAAAGGCGCTACCACCATTATTGTATCATTTGTATGTCTTGGGTACAGGAATGGAGGAAACCCCGGGAAAGGGCGACAGGCAAAGAACCTCTACAGCATCAGTCGACAAAGACAACGAAGCAAGTAGCGGTGAAAATGAGGATGACAGTGAGGATGATGATGATGATGATGATGACGATGATGATGACGACACCGTTGCTGGAACAGTTGGGAATCCAGATCCTTCTTTGATAAATATTGAGCAGATCCTCAACAGTGGTGGGATATCACTGCAAGAGTTTGAGTCGTGGAAGCCGGATGGAGATAAGGCGCCACTGGAGCTGAATGCTCAGGTAACGTTTTCATCATGATAAATTAGACAATATTGTTAAATGTTCTTCGGAGAGGGTTGGGGAAACACCAGACAACAACACACTGGCCAGTGGAAATCAGAGGAAATGAGACTTTAAAAGGGCTCAGGACGTGATCTGCAGGCAATAGCTGAACAGGGGGTTTGTTTCGGCGGTGTGACCGCGGCCTAAGGTAGTGGCATTGAGGCCGGGTCTTGTAAGTGTACCCAGCACAGGTTCCTCATCGGAGCCTCTACTCTTCCTATTGTTGTGCATATTGTAGGTAGGTACCGGTACGTTTTATATTTTCCTGTTACATCTCTCTCTCTTTCTCTCTCTCTCTCTCTCTCTCTCTCTCTCTCTCTCTCTCTCTCTCTCTCCCCCCCCCCCCTCTCTTCTTACGAATTCTTCAAGTAGGTCGTGTCTAATGGTCGATTCATATCGTGGTAAATGGCAATTTGGCCGAATTGTGTCTTCAGGAAAATGTTTAAAAAAAAACTTTACAACTCTCAGACGATGCCCTGCTGCACAGTGCGGAATGTGTAGATCTGCTTCTCTGTATACATGTATGTGGACTTTGCGGCTTACAGTCTGTATTAGACTGACCTGTCAGCATAGCATCCACAGTTGAGGCCAAACCTGGTAGCAATGAAAGTTATGCTAGAACGCTCAAACTGCTGACAAGTCAGAAACGATTTTGCTGGTTGGTTCATCAGGGTCTTAGTGCACAGGAGTGATCAAGAGCTGATACTGCATGGCGGCGGTGTGATAGAAGGTCGATACCACCGTGCATGCAGTGAGTTGTGTGCCTGCATTGTTTTGTTGCCTGTGCAGCTACTGCAGTGTATGACTGGGGACAAGCTAGCAGCAGCTTTGGTTCTGTGTCAACGAGGTATGGATACTCGGAGCGAACGCACACATACTAAGTTATACGCACTTCAGTCTAATTACAAGTATAACCTAACCAGTTGATTATATGGGAGATATAAACCTGTGTACAAACCGAGGCGAAGCCGAGGTTTGTATTATTGATTTACGTTTCCCGTATAATCAACTGAGTAGGTGATATTATGCATATACTGAGCTGAATTCAAACTCCCCTCTCTCCCACAAAAGTAGAGAAGTTCATTTTGGAGTTCCAACCCACAACCAAGGCTCAGCGAGTCTTTCTTTCACCGTACCTGTACGGAGAGTCTTTCTTTCACCGTACCTGTGCGGAGCCATTACATCAGTTACTACAACTAACCGTCCTTGAAGTGCAGTACTGTATGCAGTGGAGTGCAGTACTGTATGCAGTGGAGTGCAGTGCTATCACACACACACTTTGTGACTAGTTACATCGGAAGTAACCGCTACTCGCCAAGTTGGATCTACGATCGTTCACCAAAAACGCGTTCACAGAACGACCATTCACAGAACAAAGTTTCACCGAAAGGCGTTTCACAGAATAACAGTTCACCGCCAATACCGATTCGCCGAAATATCTATTCACAGAATTCTGTTTCGTCGAATTCCGGTTCACAGACGCATTTTTGCACCGAATGGACCATTCACCGAAAATTTCTTATATTGGCCCAAAATCAAAAAAAAGTCCACATGGGACAAAATTTGCAATGCTCTTAAAAGTGAGCTGTGGTGAAGACTGTGGAAGGGATGGATAGCTGGTTCAGCCTTTGTATGACCACATAATTATAAATGTATAGTGAAAGGTAGTGAAAGGTGGGAATATCTAGAGTATCAACTTGTAGTGCCATTTGCTGGAAATAATCACATCACGGCTCCACAAAGAAAGCCAGATTATGGTCAATACCACGCAAAACCTCCAGTCGTGGACGTTGCTCAAATGTGGTCACTACGGTCCTCTATGATCCTCAGGCACTGATTAACATTCCGGTACCGTTTCTTCCTTGTTGGCCCATCTTTCCCAGCACGCATTCTTTCCAGGTTTTCTTGCGTGCTTCGTTGCTAGATCCTTAAGTTCTCGATCAGCTTCCATAATGCCGGGTGATGGCAGTTAACTACAGCAGTTACCTACGGCCGCATATCGGCGATGCCAATTTTCCTGGATATTGTTGGTTCTGTGATCTTCACTAGCCGTTCTTGTGTGGCCATTCCACCACTGATGGTGAAACAAAGGCGTTTCTCTGGTCCCATTAGCTCTTAGACCGCCGATGTGGTAAGTCTCAAAGCAGGTCAATACTTCCTCCGCCTCAGAAGGAAAGTCAGCTTTCAGCGACTCAAAGCACTCAGCAACGTCTCCCAGGGGAACGAAGAGGGGAGTTTTGTATTCAAGCTCAGTATATACATTGTACTAGTACTTGAAGTAAATGTACTTCGAAGCACACACATGCACATCATCACCATCACCACCACCACCACCACCACACATACATGTAGGTGCATGCACACATGTCCATACAAATAATTAATTCACAAGTCCATATGTTGTTGCTATGACAACAGCATCAGCTCTTCCGAGCAAAGTTTCTTCCTGTAATAATTAGTGGTAGCGACTTCGGCGATTATTCGTTAGGAAAGGGTTTGCTCACCATACTGGAGCCCACGCTTTTCCGCCGACTTGACTTGACACTTGACTGACTCACGACTGCCACCCAGAACACAAGTTTCTTCCTGCAATATCAATTTAGTGACTTACTTGTGATATTTGTGTGTGTGTTATCTGTGTGTCTTCTCGTAGTCTTGCAGATAGAACCCGACAACAAACTAATGCAGGAACTTTATCCGACAATCATGTCTCGCTTGAAGCAAGGTAAACATGGCCGCAACTGACATGCCTGTCTATTTCTTTCCTTTCTTCACTACCTCTCCATCTGTCCATCTGTGTCTGTCGATCTTGTTCCCCAAAGAAGAGAGTGGAACATAATCCCTGTAACACACTGTCTTGTACAAGGACAATCGAAACAGGTTGTACAAAGAATAGCAGCATGCCACTAGTATGGGCGAGAACGGTGTAAGAAAGGAACCCGGTGTCCGCTGGCAATGAACTCTGGCCAGCAAGGAACCCTGTGTCCGCTTGCAATGGACTCTGGCCAGAAAGGAACCCGGTGTCCGCTGGCAATGAACGCTGGGCAGAAAGGAACCCTGTGTCCGCTGGCAATGGACTCTGGCCAGCACGTATTAATGGGTTATTACGCCGGCACGGTTATTACGCAAATGTACTAAAAATCACCACCGGTCCTTTGTGCTGATTTCACTTGTGGTTCTATTACAGCTGCTTACACAAAGGTGCAAGAATCGCTGGGCTGCGGCGAGTCCGAGTCGGATGAATCGGATTCATCTTCTGACGAGGATGAGGATGGCCCTTCGGAGGGATCTGATAGTGATCGTGAGGCAGATGGTTCAGCGTGAAGCAATCTTGCTGGAGCTACTAGTGTCAACAGCGTACACAAACTCGACCGGGCGAAATTACTTCAAAGTAGTAACGTATGGGTCATAGGAAAGGTGTTATTGTACTTATCATAAGCCACGGATGATTGATAAGAAATAATCAGATGATCACTCTATTTTTTATTATTACTATCCACTGTATTTACTTTTGTCATTGAGATCCGATCTTATAGTGTGCTGCATGCCCGCACGATACCTGTGTACTTGAGATATACACAACTCATGTTTGTATTGAATGGCTTACAGCTGCAGACTACAGTGAATATGTTATTCGCTTGCCTGGTGGTGTTGACCAATACAGAATTATGTCCATGCACCATGATGACCAGCGCTTTGGCTCAGTGATTACGGGCTTGCCTGCAAATCGAGAGTTCCTCGAATTATGCCCATAATTATGTGGGCGAAAACAGGTCATTTTGAAACTGTTATGTGTGGCAATCATGCAGGATTATGCAGTATAATGCTGTAAGTATGCCAGGCAGATGATAATCTGTAAGTGGTACAACTTTAGTGTACATTCTCATGCACATATACCACTTAATCGTACAAACGCATGGGAACGTACAATTATTGTAGTAGTACATTTTCACTGCCATGTAGACCTACTCTTTTCTTGTACATTCCATTCGATTACTAGTACACGGTTAGCGTTATAACACGATTCGGACGGTACTGCATACTCATACCCACTGCACACTCACTGTACAGCACGGCTGCTGCACACTCACTGTACAGCACGGCTGCTGCACACTCACACTGCACAATAGGGCTGTACATGCACTGCACACAAACACTGTACAACACGGCTGCTGCACACTCTCACTGCACAATAGGGCTACGCGTGGTTGGCGTGCTTGCAAGTACTCAGTTTATTCTTCACCAGAGTTAGAACTAAACGTGCTCTGTCTGTTTTAGAAAGCAAGAGTTGGTGTAAGTGATTCCAGGGGCTAGCATTACAACAGTTGTTAGTGCTATTCTCTAATCCGCAAAAAGGATTGAGCAAAAGAAGATAAAAATTGGGAAAAGAGAGAGAGAGAGAGAGAGTGGGTCATTTCGAAAGGATGAAACTATAAAATTCCACAAGCATGGGACAGATCAACGAGACACAGTACCAGCGCGTACCTCAGTGCTAGGCTGAATGAAAAATAGAGGGAGGTCGCGAGCATTTGATATTAAACGTTCAATCATTCTGGCGTACACCATACACAACGCTATTATGTATATAGTAGACAGCCCAGCCCTGGGCACGTAACTGGATATAGGACAGCAGTTACTAGCCACCAGGAATTTCACACAAGTTTGGGACTGGGGACCATGGATATTCTGGAAGGGAAAGGAAAAGCTCCGCTGTATATACGGGTAGCCACAGCAAGAGAGATATAGCGCGCCTTGCTGATTGCTATACACAGCAAGTAGATCACCACGGACCAGGATATTCTGAGCCGAGCGTGATTGGCTATACTCGAGAGACAGATAGACCAACAGACAGAGACAGAGAGCGGAAGGAATATACAGCATTTACATTATTAAAATACCAGTACATCGACCAGGAAAGAGTTCAGAATGAAAGGGACAAGACACGGGTGACAATAGACAGGGGATAAACATAGCACGATAGTGTGCTGCTAGACCATGGTTATGTCTATTCATAGAACCAATGTGAACCAATGTGGACAGAAAGAATCGTTGGATGTCGTTCGATAGGTAATTCAGCGAAGCGAAGTTCGCACCCACTTAGACATAATCAGATGAGAATTGTGGAGACTCGGAAAGTCAGCATCAAGGTGTGTTTAGGTGCAGCGGCTATCAGTCACCAAGGAGGGTTGTGGCAAGGCTGGAACATACAGACCTTGCAACGCCCTGACCAGCTCCATAGTAGCAGTGAACCGTAGTTGGTATTAGTATTAGCCGAGTGCACGTGCATCGGCAAGGTGATGGTATCAGAGGATGTGTACGCATCCTCGTCAATCAGTGAGAATAACTGTGTCACCCTCACGCTTCAGAATGACATAGGGATAGAGGGGAACGCCCTTGGCCACTACGATGTCAGCAGTCACGGAGAAATGGCGAGCGACCGATGCGCGGATCTCCACGCGAATTGTCCCATGCCGATGCTCGAACGAGAAAGGGTACCGCCGCACAAGACGGCAGGTGTCGCACGGTACACCGCCATCGGGGGAAGCCGGGTCTGGAAAGCCAGGTTTCACCTGCAACAGAGAAGATACCATTAATTAATGAGCAATGCACAAACACACACACATGTATGCTACTCCCCCCCCCCCCCCCATATTCTCTTTCTTTGAGCCGAAGATAGCGGCCGTGTCGTAGCTCTTCGTCTGGAAGTTGTAGACGCAGCTGTAAACACAGCCAACGGTTGTATATTTGTGGCGGAGCAGCTCGCGGACGCTGGGCCTTGAATGTTGCTGACCACTGTGGTGAGCGAACTGTCAGGAGGGCAGGGTTCTATCTCCTCCGAGTCTCCACGTAATGCCGTATCAAGACACTCCGCCAGCAAAGCATCCATGATGAGCAAGATTAGGAAGTGCTCACGTTTTTTTCTCACTCACTCAAACTGAATCAATTGGCTTGTCCATCTCCATTTCATCACAACCTTTGCGACAGAACAGTGTCCGGCGACCAGCAGCACGCGGAGGTAATTCACAAAGCTACTACAGAATGCTGATACGGAACTATACAGCTCTTTTCAATAGCGATAAAATACGGCATAGTGAAGAACATCTGCACTCGGCCTGGCATCTATCCTTACCTCACAACGAAGCCATTTTATGTACTCTTGTTGCTATTTTTGACTTCATGATTTCTGGATGAAGAACGAAAACGGCTCTCGTCTTGGTTGGGTGTGCCTGTATGCAGAATGTGTACCATTGTACTCATACCCACCGATACGATTGTGAGGGATTATCACCTGCAAACTTTCTTCAAATCGCCCTGAAAAGCGCCCTAAGAAACTCAAAACCATACTTGTAAATCGAAATGATGCAATGGTGGAGCTACTTCTCCAGTTTATGGCTACGCACTGCAGGCAGCAAGCCGCGCCAGACCCCATATGCAGAGCTGCACGCTCTTGGGGTTATGGACTCTTGGTACTAACCATTTTTACTACTCCCTGCATGCTATGAACCACATAGGGTTCAAATATCGAACAAGTACCGCGTACCGGCATATTCTCGCATGCTACAAAAGGATGCACATTATACGGGTACTACGGTGAATCCATACTGCTGCAAAAGGATTCTGCGAGTGCATGCAGGGCTGGAACATAATAGATGGATTTCATTATGGCACCATTTTCATCAAAAGGCAAGTACGTTAAGTCCCATGTATGAGAGACAGCTCCAACACCTATTGCCTGTATATGGAAGGCAGCTGGAGGGAAAATCCCATAGAAGGATTAAAAGGATGGTAAAACAACACTACCGTATATTTCGGAGTATAGTGCGCACCCTTGTATAACGCGCACCCCCAATCTTCATTGGGGGTGCGCACTTCAATCTTCATTGAAGTACATGCATTTCATATTCGGAGCATAGTGCGCACCTGCGATTTAGGGCCTAAAATAGCACATCTAAAGTGCGCACTATACTCCGGAAAATACGGTACGTTTTGGCTCACTACATGTTCACTCAATGCGCTTAGCTACTTGTACTTGGCGATGCGATGGGTGACTGGTCCGAAAAATCACAATTTTATTTCAATAAACGAATTTTCAAGTAACTCGGTGCATTGATCATTGAGTGTAGCGAGTAGCAGCTGAATTGAGCGCTTGTTACTTGACAACCCTCCTCTCTTTCTTATATGATGCAGCTGCGTGAAGTCAATAAACTTCTTAGACAGCAACATTATATGGGCAGATATCTTCTCCGTATGTTTATGGAAATCCATCTGCGTGTACTAGCAAGAGTAAATGAGCTCCCAAGAGTGTTGCTGAAGCCATTCAAAGTGGCCACCACCACCACCATCATCATCATCATCATCATCATCAGAAGCCAGCCACACACCACACTTTCTCTTCACAAGCCCATGGAGAGAAACGGCTTTGGCTTCGGTTGACAAGGATCTCTCCGGTACAGTGAGGAGAGTAGCAGCATCCCCAGGGGTGAGACTGATCGAAAGTTTTCTGAAGTCGATACGCCGGAGCCCAACACCCTTCCATTGTTGTGTGCCACCTTCGACTTGCACTTTATCTTCCTTCCAATTCTCGATCAAGACTTTTTGGTTATCGTTTCAGCCCTAATTTCCACGATATTTAAAACATGATTCATCCATCAGTTTGAGAGAATTCCAAACATAATACTTATTTTTTTCCTCTGCATTATGACAGTTTTCGAAAATGAAGGCCTGACCCCTGCTTTCCCTTGCAAACGTTAGCAGTTTCAAAACGCCAGGGCTCCACAGAGTAAACTGGCCTAAACTTAAGCTTCGCAGGCGCCCATGCAACGCAATCCATGCCAATGCTTCTCTCACTTTGCAAATTAGAAGCAAGTTTACACCTATCTACAATGGGAGATAGCCGCCCCATCTCCAGACACCAACGAAGTTGGCGGTAGCAACGAGAACTCATACCTAATGTTGCACCCCAAACCTGAACATCGACCAGAGGTAACGTAAACAGGAGCGAGCTATAGTATACTTGCTCTGCAATGCAGTACGGCATGGTGGCATCACACTATGATACCACCGTGGTCTTTTCACAGGCGAGAGATCAAGGCTCGGGAGACACGGGGCGTTCTGGCGGGATTTCACGGTAAAGATATACAAACACACCCACGCGCACACGCACGCACACACGCGCACACACATGCGCACACACACACACACACACACACACACACACACACACACACACACGCACACACACACACACGCGCACACACCATACACACGCACGCACGCACACACACCGACACGTCAGCACAAGTAGGCAAAGCTACGCGCTATATGACTTACCTCGCCGATGGCAAACGTGAACTGCAGGCGAGAGTTGTTGGTGAACTTCAGGCGCTGAACGCGCCGTGCGGCCATGCGGCGTGGGGCTGACGTGGACTCTGATTCAATGATGGCTTGGTAGAGATCACCGTTCGAGGAGAAGCCCGAACCAATCAGCGGATACATCGAGTCTTGTGTTGCCTCCATGCGGCATCCAACTCCAGCAAAGATAAACTGACGCATCTGGTCCACCTAGTGACAACAACAACGATAACGACGACGACGACGACCACAACAACAACAACAACAACAACAACAACTTCTCTTATTGGCCACTGGCTATCGTGAGAATAAAGATTTGAAACAACAACAAACGTATCCAACCTACATCCCATAATCAGAAAAATCAAGAGTATGTACAGTCTGTATCGACTATAGCGTACCCTTTTGATTTCCGTGATTTTTTCACTATAACGAATGCATCACTATATGCGATACGATCGATTTCTTTTCTTTTTTCGATCGACACATGAAAGGCAAGGAAATACTTCCAGCATGGCGTTTTGACAAATGAGCATGCTGCATAGTTGACAGTGCACGCATTTCCATTAAAAAAATTCTGTTATGTACATGCACATGTATCACTATAAAAATAAGCAATGTGAAGAAAGTTAAAAAATAGGGCCTTTGATATTATTGCTACATGTATTTTAAAATTATCACTATAGCCGATAATAATAATAATAGTGATGTGCATGTTTGTTGTCATCATAATATCCGATAATATTGGATATAGTGATATTTTTACTGGATAAAATACGTTTTGCTTTTGATATTTCGTACCAATATCACTGTAGCCGATATATTCTTATATCCGGTCACTCTATATCCGATACAGACTGTAATACCAAAAGTCAACCCCCTAGGCCCTGCTAAGGGGTCTACCAAACGTGAAAACTCACATCGCGATTCATGATGTAAAGTGCTAGTCGTAGTCTAGCGGAGTCTATAATTTTTTTTTTTTTTTTTTTGCGTAGTCTATAATCCTATTCGTAGTGAGATCAGTGAGCTCCATAGAAGAACACGAAAAAAAATGTAGGACTTAGGATACTTAATAGGGTGCGTTATTAAATCCTCTGGGAAAAGTCGTGGGTTTCGCTCACGGGCTGCCCGTTTCAGTTGCCCTTGGTGCAGGGCCGGTTCATACAGGCCCGCGTACAGTCTCGTCTGGGCTGCGCTTGGGGCCAGCAGGTCAAGGCCGAATTACGGAAAGCGGGGAACTTCCAAAATAATTCGGGGGCCGAAACGCACATCGTTTTGAGTACTAACGGTATGAAACCTGTGCCGCCTCCCTAGATGCTACAGCTATCCCATGCACAAATACATGGGCTGGCAATAGCAGTTTCTTATGGGTCCGGCCATAGCAGAACGTTTCATGCTTTGTGCACGACATACTGGATAAACGTGACTTACATGTACTGCTAAACACAGGAAACGTATATTTTCGGCCAAAAAATAATGGTCCGGTCATGGCCTTGCTAGGAACCAGTTCCCCTGGGCATGCAGTACACAATTTATACCGATAGTGTGCTTCCCAACATTTAATCCTCCGAGTGGCACTTCAGCGTACAGTGGAGATTAGATAGAATGACACGGAGCCAGGAGATGAAAATAACAATTCACTTCAAAAATGAGTCACTATCCGATCGGCAACGAAACATGATCAGATTCGAAAGGATGTGCTGGGGGGGGGGGGGCGTTTGATTAGGCAGGTGCGGAACAGGAGCGCTTGGAACACTGCTTTTTGATTATACTGTACTCGAGTCGGTGTACTACACTCAGGACATGTCCTGGCTTCTCCGGCCATTGAACTGAAGGAGCTGGCGCAGTTTGACCTTTGCAATGATGCTTTTGGCGCTATCAAAATACGGATAGGTCTGTATGAGATTCAATGCATGAAGTATTTTAGTTTTAAACACAGAAGGTGGGTGTAAAATTATAATATCACTAAAGATTATTACAGTGACACAGTGATTTGCAATCGATCGAGTTCACAACCAAGTGATCACCATCGTTCGGTGTGCCCAGGGCTGGTTCCAGAAATTGCAGATGTCAACTTTTGATCTGAACAGCATGATCAAGCACATCCTAGGCAACTTGGGCAATAGAAAGAAGTCAAACAGGCAGGCACTGTTGTTGCCATAAGACTCGATGCACAATGTGCAGAAACGCTCACATACTGGGAACGGAACGAGAGAGCTTGGAAGCTCAGGGCCCTACGCTATGCTTTTATGCTTTTTTGCCTAGCTCATCGTACATGTTATAAGAACTGATGGAATTGTCTTTTTCCGTTGATTGGCCACATCACTGTATTGCAAAAACGTTTCAATCGGTTTGAATATTATGAGTTAGGCAAAAGTATTTGCAGAATTTATTGCGGATTGTTATTTCTCTAATAATCATCTACTTTTGTTTTGCTCCTTCTTTAATTTTTATCTCCTTATATTGTAAATCAACAAATTTTGGCCGATGAGAAATAGAAACCTCTCGATTAGAGAGGTTAAGATGCACGTTATTTCCGACGTGACGCGCAGTTTCACGTCAAATTTGAAATCGATCGGTATTTTTGCTCTCACGTGCATCCATTGCTCAATCATGCATCATTTGCCTATATGACAAACGTTGGCCTGCGATTTACTTTGGCCGGTTGGTACCAAGCGGCGAAATCAGCGAAATTAAATCGCCAGCGAACATTAGTTGATTTTAATACAGGAATCGGATTTTCTGGCTTTTTTTTTGTAGTAATAAATGTACATTGACCTGTTGAGCCAATGACGCCGCCGAATGCATGGTTGCCTGTGGAGCAAATTACATAACTTTACAGTCTCCTAAAATACATATCCTGTCCGACGGCAAAAGAGGCTGCAGATTTAGTTTTTCTGCGCGTCGACGGGATGTCTGCGACGCGAAGGTTCAGCTCGCGTTATTTGGCTCGCACGTCAAAAAAATCAACGCGAGTGACCTGCTGCTCACGTCGAAATTTGGACATTACATAACTTTACAGTCTCCTATATAAATACGTATCCTGTTCGACGGCAAAAGAGGCTGCAGATTTAGTTTTTCTGCGCGTCGACGGGATGTCTGTCCTGACGTTTACTGGGACCGGCTTAGACTCTGCCGATCACGGGCGTTCTGGACTCGACGGGATGTCTGTCCTGATGTTTCCTGGGACCGGCTTAGACTCTGCCGATCACGGGCGTTCTGGACTCAACGGGATGTCTGTCCTGACGTTGCCTGGTACCGCCGGACTCTACCGATCACGGGCGTTCTGGAGTCGACGGGATCTCTCTTCCGACGTTTCCTGTGACCGGCACTGAATCGCTCGTTCACGCTTATTTTGGAGACGACGGGATCTCTCTTCCAAAGTATGTTTATGCTGACGCATCCTATCACCTAATCGGCGTCTATTCTAATTTAATTTCCTCCTCGTCTCCCTATTTCTTTCCAAATCCCCCTCAACATCAGGCAGTTGTATGCATAATATGACGAATATTGGTACGGTAGGGGACAGATACAGGAGCCCGCAAATATTGTGGACAGCTGTTATGTACAATCCGGTAGAGCCTTTGTAGTCACAGATACGGGACAGATACGGGACAGATACGGGATAGCGCCAGGCGTGACACAAACAAACAAACAAACAAACACACACACACAAATACCAAACGAGAGAGCTTGGAAGCTCAGGGCCCTACGCTATGCTTTTATGCCTTTTTGCCTAGCTCATCGTACATGTTATAAGAACTGATGGAAATGTCTTTTTCCGTTGATTGGCCACATCACTGTATTGCAAAAACGTTTCAATCGGTTTCAATATTATGAGTTAGGCAAAAGTATTTGCAGAATTTATTGCGGATTGTTATTTCTCTAATAATCATCTACTTTTGGTTTGTTCCTTCTTTTCTTTTTATCTCCTTATACTGTAAATCAACAAATTTTGGCCGATGAGAAATAGAAACCTCTCGATTAGAGAGGTTAAGATGCACGCTATTTCCGACGTGACGCGCAATTTCACGTCAAATTTGAAACCGATCGGTATTTTTGCTCTCTCATGCATACATTGCTCAATCATGCATCATTTGCCTATATGACAAACTTTGGCCTGCGATTTACTTTGGCCGGTTGGTACCAAGCGGCGAAATCAGCGAAATTGATTCGCCAGCGAAAATTAGTTGATTTTAATACAGTAATCGGATTTTCTGGCCTTTTTGTAGTAATACATGTACATTGACCTGTTGAGCCAATGACTTCGCCGAATGCTTGGTTGCCTGTGGAGCACATTACATAACTTTACTGCCTCCTAAAATACGTATCCTGTCCGACGGCAAAAGAGGCTGCAGATTTAGTTTTTCTGCGCGTCGACGGGATGTCTGCGACGCGAAAGTTCAGCTCGCGTTATTTGGCTCGCACATCGAAAAATCAACGCGAGTGACCTGCTGCTCACGTCGAAATTTGGACATTACATAACTTTACAGTCTCCTATAATACGTATCCTGTCCGACGGCAAAAGAGGGTGCAGATTTAGTTTTTCGGCACGTCGACGGGATGTCTGTCCTGACGTTTACTGGGACCGGCGCTGACTCTGCCGATCACGGGCGGTCTGGACTCGACGGGATGTCTGTCCTGACGTTTCCTGGGACCGGCTTAGACTCTGCCGATCACGGGCGTTCTGGACTCAACGGGATGTCTGTCCTGACGTTGCCTGGGACCGGCGGACTCTGCCGATCACGGGCGTTCTGGAGTGGACGGGATCTCTCTTCCGACGTTTCCTGTGACCGGCGCTGAAACGCTCGTTCACGCTTATTTTGGAGACGACGGGATCTCTCTTCCAAAGTATGTTTATGCTGACGCATCCTATCACCTATTCGGCATCTATTCTAATTTAATTTCCTCCTCGTCTCCCTATTTCTTTCCAAATCTCCCTCTACATCAGGGAGTCGTATACATAATACGACGAATATTGGTACGGTACGGGACAGATACAGGAGCCCGCAAATATTGTGGACAGCTGTTATGTACAATCCTGTAGAGCCTTTGTAGTCACAGATACGGGACAGATACGGGATAGCTCCAGCCGTGACACAAACAAACAAACAAACAAACAAACACCAAATTAAAGCTGTGTGGACCCTGGCTAGCGCCAGACGTTACTGAAGTAACGTCTTCTGCATAGCTACGGGAATTAAAGCTGTGTGGACCCTGGCTAGCGCCAGACGTTACTGAAGTAACGTCTTCTGCATAGCTACGGGAATAAAACAACCATAATTGCCGGCACTTCGAGTTTCGCACTACCATTACCGCTGGCTGATGATAGCCTTAGCGTGAAACTCAGAGTCACAGCAAATTACTTATTTCAATATGCTCCTGGTGTGCAATCTTCACTGTACATAGATGTGGATGAACATACCGGAACAACGCCTCACCTCAAGAGTCCATTTAATTGGCCTGCACTTCTTGTCATGCAGCTCAATCAACTCCCGGTCCATGTACACCGGCTGCATGCCACACTTGAGCGCAGTGACCTTGCAGCCAAAGTTGCTGATCGTCACCGTCGATGCGTGGCGCTTGTCGAAGTGAAATCCGTGCAGCTTGGTGCGGCCCGTCTCGTGCTCCGAGGCGCGTTGCAGGCGGGAGGTGACGGCCGGCATCTCCACCGACACCTGGTGCTGAGCTAGGATGTCCATGATGCGACGCGCTGACAGGCTACCGTCGCGCAGGTACGGCAGGAAGCCAAGCAGCTGCTCGGCCTGCTTGGCCCTGCTCTCCGGATAATGACACTGTACCCAGCGGCATACTGCGTTCAGCAAATCCTCCTGCGCATATCGTAATGTTTGGCAAATGACACAAAAATTCACGGAATGACACACACAAACGGTTGACAAAAACACAGTCAATTTCTTTCCATGGGTCAGACTCGGAGTTTTCCGCATCAGCAGGAACACCACAGCCCTCAGGGATCAAAGCACAGATGCAGCTGGGAGGGGAGTAGATCAGACACACCACACAGTGGTCGAAGATAGATATTAAATCCGCACTCGCTGCATCCATGTTTCCCTAGTGGCAGGCCCGATTCCCAATAAACTGCGGGTCGCAGCTCAGTTGGCAAAATCTATCCGCTTCAAATTAAAAAAATAAAATAAAATATTTAAAAAAAATTCGACGGGTTCGCGTACCGAGCAGGTCAAGAACAAGGGGTCGTACAACTCCCTGGTCAAGAACCATCTTCCCGCTTCCGTGGGATGCCACCACCCCATGATCAGGCGTCAGATGCGGCTCCTATACGGTGGCAGGACTTTAAAAAAAAACATGCGTGATATTGGCATAAAGGGATGGTTGCATTCTTTTTAAAGGGAACTATGAAAGTTGGCATAACCCCCGCCCCCATTCCTTTTGAAATTGAACAGTATAAGACTTGTCACGCTTTTCTTGGGCCACTGAATGCCAATGCTAACCAGTAAGTCTGACTGAATGATCAGACATGAAGGGCTAGAGTTGTGCTTGCCGATACGCTAGACTACAGTGCATTCCGATATTCAAAACAAGCCTCATCCGGGCTTCATGTACTGTTGTGCACCCACATACACCCAGACACAGACTAGGACAGGAACAGAGACAAAGACGCATAGATACACAGACATATGCAGAGGTCCACAGACACACATGTAGAGTCACTCATGCGGTCAAGCAGACAGACACATAGATACAGTGACACATAGACACATAGTAGCAGTGACATAGACACATACACATAAAAACAGACAGGCACACGCCAACACAGACATATGCAGAGTCGGACACAGAGTCAGACACAGAGTCAGACACAGACTGACAGACAGACACAGACAGACACAGAGTCAGACACAGACAGACAGACGCACAAACACACACACACGCGCGCGCACATGCACGCACGCACGCACGCACAAGACGCATGCACTGTTGTGGCACATGAAATCCCGACACGGACACTTGCTACACATATAGGGCACATCGCCACGAATGGATTTCAATGATGCAATGTGCGGCACAGCAAAGCCGTACGCATCCTAAACAGGTCCATAGGTCACAGCCTAGGTTCATATAAGGAATATTCTTTAAACATCCAGTGCCCATCCACATTTGGGAGAACGCTTGAACCTTTCAGGTGCAATTTAGACGCTACGTTTGTGATGAGTACGAGTACAACGATAGGGCAATAAAACTTATACGTAACACAATGCAATAAAAGCGCAGGGCTGCATAGCGCAAGGTGCGATCCCTTATATGGAAAGTGTTAGGTTTCACAGGCCACAACTAGTACTGTACTTGTACTTGCTCACTGCCACAAGCTGGTCACATAGGTCACACCAGGAGAAGGCAGAGAGAGATTCAAAGTAATTTTAAGGATGACTCAACACACACAAAAACACACATGCGCACTTGTTCTTGCTCATTGCCATAAACTGGTCACGTGGGTCTCCCCTAAAGAGGCGAGACGGATTCAAAAGGAATCCTAGGAAGATGACTCAATTGGCTATTGAACCGCCCAACGGCTGGCACCCCCTGACTATTGATTATACAAGAGTTAGTCTTGTCCAGGAGCAGTCCATTGGTCAACTGGTATGTGTACTACGAAAAGAAAGTAAAGGCCCTGAAAACAACAAAGGTGGCAGGCACATGTACAACAATACACCTTCAAGCGGCCGAGCCCATTGGCAACAGACCCAACACTATCTAGCAAAAGTGTACCCACTAACCCAACTAGCTGTCACACACACACACACACACACACACAGACACACACACGGAAAAATATGGGGCCAGACGCAGACACACATGCACATACACACACACACACCACCACCACATGCGCACACGCCGAGAATAACACAGACACACACACGTACGAATAAACATGGACACACACACACACACACACACACACACAATAGAGACAGAGAGACACGCACACAAGCAGACTGAAAACACGGCGCGGCACACTTGCTCTCCTACCTCATACATAATGAATATGGTCTGCTGCTGCAATACCACTCGCACGGCATCGTCGGACAGGTGAGTGAATGTGCCGCCCTCGATTATGTCAAGTGCATAGCTGCAGAAGTACTGACAAACGGTAGTAAAGAACGATTGGCAAGTCTGACTCAGAACACAGCTGATATTCAACACATCTACGGCATTGTCCAAGCTCAGGCAATGCTCCACAAAATACACCTCGCACCGCTGCCGCAAGTCCAGCACTTCCCAAGTATCAGCGAAGCGCACTAAATCCAGGACGAGTTGTGCCTGGCTGTCTGCTGTGTAGATGAGCTGCTCAACTCTGCTTGGCACACCCAACTCCGGTACGTCTACTTCACCAGTGTATGCGTAGGTGATGACTATTGCTAGACCATCCAGGCTCAGATCATGCACAGGAACAATGCCTGATGCAGACTCGAGAAATTGTCCATTCAGCAGCCCGTTGAACGGCTTGGATAGGCTAGCCATGATGAGGCGATGCGCAGACATAGAAGAAGGTTTTTGCTCATCCGGCAAGATGAAAGTAACGTCATGAGAGGAAACGTCGAAAAGCAATTGCACCATGCGTTGCTGAAGAGGACTCAGCTTGTCGCTGTCGTCGTCCATTGTGTCTTGCTTCCGTGTTTGGGGAGCTGTGTTTTAGGTGATGGCGACGGAGCTAAGCATTCCCAGTGGTAGCAGCAGCACCAGCAGCTGCACCACCGTTGCTCGTGATGCAGAAACTAACGAAGCACTGGAAATAAGCGACGACTCAAGACATGTTGTTCTCGACTTCGTCTTGCATGCTTTTTCCAAGTGACGAGTTCAGTCAGTGCAAGCAATAGTTCACCGGCATATTCCAATACTCAAACCCCATGTTGTTCAGCACAGTCTAGCCTCCAATCCAGCTGCACGGGAAATGATTCGCCAAGCATACTGTAGAAAGAAACCCCTGCAAAACATTGTACTAAACAGTCTAAAGCCTAGTAAAGGACTGGGGGTGCTGTCAAAATATTCCATGTGTACGAGTCGTAGTCCAAAGCAGGGAGTAGTAAAAACTGTATTTTACTACTCCCTGGTCCAAAGCGTGGGTGACGACACTGATTGGCATTGCTACAGTAACAGAGTACAGTAGCTGTACTGTATACTGCTGCTGTACGACCATCCGAACACGCGAAGGCCAAGCTCAAACGGGAAAGCTACACTACATAAATGTACAAGGCGCTACACGTACACAAGACTTTTAAAGTCATGGTAATACATGTACTAGTTGCGCTAAAAAATAAAAAATAAAATAGTTGCGCGCGCTGCATGCACTCGTACGATCGTTGACTATGCGTATACGCTGTTGACTCGTACGATCGTGGAAAAGCCTGAAAAGGGTGCACGACATCCAGGATAAGGAATACGTGAGTTGTAGAGAGTCCATTTTGACTCCCCACCTGACATAACAGGATCAAATGAATGTTTGTGCAATTCGATTTACCAATGATCATGACTGTATTTTTCTGTATTTTTCTGCATTTATACTAGATTAATATCAGGCCGGGAGTCGTAAAATACGTAATTTACGACTCCCTGATTTATCAAGTACATGATTATGTACATGTACAATGACATAATTATTATGTAGTCAGTACGAGTCTAGTAGGCTTGATTGCCTTGAAAGTGATGATGTCAAAAACGGCCTGGGAGTAGTAAGTTGACATCAGATTTCTATTTTGGATCCACTACGGTATAAGGACTTAGGTGTGACTTTACTGCCTCAGTATGTGGGTGCATAGCAACCCACTCATGTCGTATGCAGGTGCGACTTTTACTTCGCCACCATGTACCAGTTGTCACCCCGCCCCTACTACAAGTAGCCAAATCAGTCAGTTTCACTGGCTACATCAGTCATCACCTTGCTGTGAGCAAGAGTACGTAAGGCCCTAACTATAAGGGTTATGATTGTACTCTTGCTGTGAGTATTAAAGACCGCTTGAAATGTGCTTGGATCCAGGCAGGGAGTAGTACAATACTACCAAGAGTACATAAGGGTTATGTACTCTTGATACTACTCCCTGCTTGGATCCATACAAAAACTGGATCCAGGTGGATCCAGTTTTTGAATTTTTTCAAATTGTTGCTATTATTATTATTTATTATCAAATTTTTGATAGGGCAATCCCCACAGGCCTATGCTGTTGCTATGCTGTGACGTAGCACTTTCAAGCCCATGTACATGATGTAGAATAGATACACTGTTAGATTGACAGCATGACGTAACAAGGTGGAGGACACTGTGTTCGGAAACAGTGACCTCACTACAACCTTCCGCGGTTGGCAGAGCCCCGGTCCCTGCGGACCATTTGAACCATAATATGGGTATCGCACCCGGTTCTGACCCTCATTATGCTAGGGAGAGCGAAGAAAACAAGACGACATCAGGAGTAGTCTCCCAACCCCCCTAGTAGCATAATGAGGGTCAGAACCGGGTGCGATACCCATAATTATGGTTCAAATGGTCCGCAGGGACAGGGGCTCTGCCAACCGTGGAAGGTTGTAGTAAGGTCACTGTTTCCGAACACAGTGTCCTCCACCTTGTTTCATGCTGTCAATCTAACAATTGCGTGAACTATAACAAGGTTGATCTACATGTAATACTGGTTTAACCAGTGTTAGGTATCATGTAGATACATGTGTACTTGTCCAGAGGAGCTAAAAAAAGACGCCAACCACACGATCACCTCAGCTCAGTTGCACCTGATCTGGGTGAAACTGTGACCAACCAATGGATCATGGGCATAGGATATTGCTTGCATAGCACCAAGAGTACATAACCAGGTTATGTACTCTTGATAGCTGACTGACCAGGGCGCCCTACACAATGTCATACACAATAATCATAGTAGAAATATGTGTGTACATGTACATGTTGTTGTTGTTGTTTGGCTTTATTTACATGTACATGTATGTGTAGGGCTCCTGGCCCGGCAGTTGGGAGGGCCCGAATATATATTTATATTTTAATATTACAACATCTCAAGACTCGGTGGAAACACCGGCCAATGTTAAGAGAGTGGGTGATTGCCAACCACGGCGATAAATAAAAGTAAGGGGAGGGAAAAAGAAAGAGTAGCAAAATGAACAGCAACAACAACTCCGTAAAAAAAGATAATGTCAAATAAAAACAGTGAAAAACACAGAGACGCAAATCAAAATATTGGGCGAAGGTAGGCTAAATAAAAATGAAGCTTGCAAGAAAGTGGGAGGTAGGAGCAGTGGGGGGAGAGAATTCCTAAGGATTTACTTGATTTTTTACAGATATATTCGATTTTTGGGTACCCAAGAGAGTGCAGAGTCAATCACAATGCCAAGGTGTTTGTGAGAAGGCACTCAATTGGATTTGGAAAGTTGGCATGGATGAGGGTTGTGAATATGCTTGCGCATATTTTCGCATATTTTGGTCCTTTTGACACAAGGTCGCATAAAGTATAAAATCTAGCACATTGTACCAAATGTAGCATATTTTGCTACAAGGAGCAAATAATTCGCATAATTATAGGGCAGATTGCAGAAATGGACAAGGAAACTTACCACAGCACGCTCGGTCAGGGAACACTTCCAAACTTAGCCCGGAAGGAAAAATGGTCATCCAAACACGGGGCGAAAATTTGACCCGAGTAGCCCTTTCCCAAAGGTGCTCTTTTAATTCATAGACATCTGTGGATTTGATTTTTGCCATTTTCGTTCACAAAAATCAAATCCACAGATGTCTATGAAGCTGCAAGAACATTGTCTGTGCACAAATCATCTGCTGACAGTTACCTATCAAATGCCGTCCTCAGCCGCTGTGCAGACATCCTGTGTGTACCTCTGGCTAAACTATTCAACTACAGTCTTGAGCAAGGCGAGTTCCCTTCCGCTTGGAAGATGGCCACGATTATCCCAGAAAGGTTGCCCAACTCACCCTACGAACTACCGCCCAATATCCCTCCTCCCCTGTATAGCAAAACTCTTTGAAAAAATAGTAGCGAAACAACTCCAGGCTTACCTAACAATAAAACAGAAGATAATATTATGCAGTCAACAATACGCATACGTGAAGGAGAAGTCTGCGACAGACCAGCTTATTATACTTACCCAGCAAATGGCCGACTACATTGATGAGCGTCTGAACTTCGACCTGGTCTCCCTAGATTTCTGCAAGGCATTTGACAGAGTAAGCCACTCAACTCTCCTCCGTCAAGTCAGCAAATTCTCGGACCATAAAGTCACTGCCTGGACTAAGAGTTATTTGCAGGATCGAAGCATAGCCGTGAAGATTGAGTCATGCATGTCAGTGCCCAAAGTCACCAACTGTGGTGTTCCCCAGGGATCGCATCTGTCTCCTCTACTGTTCGTGATCTACATTAATGACCTACCAGAAGCCATACATCATTCGCACACCTTCTTGTTTGCGGATGATGTCACTCTACTTTTGCCGTACAAAGGCTCTCTGTCAAGTCCTGGTATCCAAGCGGACATTCATGCATGTCAAAGCTGGGCGAGGGAAAGAGGCGGAGAGTTTTCGCCCTCAAAAATTTCTGTTTTAAGCTTCCGTTATAAGCCAGCGGCAGCATCATCACCGGCACCAACATCTGCCACCTACACTATGGGGGGTCTACCTCTTCCCAGTATTGACATCCTCAAACATCTGGGAGTTCGCTTCAGTGCAGACCTAAACTTCCGTCAACACTACCTTGACATCAGTCGCAAATTCAAGCAGAGAGTAAGCCTACTTTGTCACATGGCACATCGTCTTACACCGCAGGCCATGATGCTCCTCTACAAGTGCTATGTTAGACCTGTGATTGAGTATAGCGTCGTAGTGTGGTCCTTTCGTCTTCGTTCAAGCGACTTGACTGAGCTGGATAGAGTCCAGGCCAGGTTTGCAAGATCCTACCTTAGGAAACGCAAAATCCAAATCGACTTTAATACACCCAAGCAGGATCTTAATAAAAAAAGCTAACATTGAATCCCTTCTTTACCGCAGGCAGTTTTTAAGCTTGGTTACCATGCACAAATTTATTTTCAAGTATCGACGTTGCCTAGCTTCATTCCATTTCAATATCACGCAGAGTGCGAGACGCCCTAACAAAATTATTCTCCCTAAAGCAAAGACCACATCAAAATCGTTGTTTCTCTTCCAAACCGCCCTCTTATGGAACTGCCTCCCACCAAGACTAACTGCAGAACCATCCATTATTGTTTTCAAGAATGAGCTTCGCAAACTCACTTGCAAACATAGTGCTTCGCTCTCCGGTATGCCTACGCCATGTACATTATGGCAATAAAAACTGCTTTATGGCAGTTTTCTAAAAAAAGTTATTGTGTTCTAGTCCATGGACCCCGTCTAAAAAGTAAGAAATTACCGAAATGTGATAGCTGAAAATTAAAATTTCACACAAAACCTCACAATAATCACAACACTTGAAATGCTGCTTTCAACTTTAACTTGTACTGCACCAACAATTGGCAACATGCATGCATAGGAGAAAGGATCACGAGGGGAAAAGGTCTTCAACATGTAGCTTTTAATTCTGTGTGTGATTATTGTGAGGTTTTGTGTGAAATTTTAATTTTCAGCTATCACATTTCGGTAATTTCTTACTTTTTAGACGGGGTCCATGGACTAGAACACAATAACTTTTTTTAGAAAACTGCCATAAAGCAGTTTTTATTGCCATAATTTCTTTTGTTTTTTCTGTCACCAATCAATGGAATGCCGTACATCAAGAGTACATGTACTCTTGCCTACATGTATATCAATATGTAAATGATGGCCTTCACATCATATCAAGAGGTTTATGTACTCTTGATCATATCAATACCGTATTATACGCATTGATATGCAAGCCTTTTCTTGCAGAAAATGGCACTAGCATTATGCATGTTCTGTGGGGGAACATGTGAGTAGTGGTGGTTATACTTTTTTAGACGCAGGTTGTTGTTGTTGTTGTTGTTTCTTTATTTTACTTCACCATATGAACAGGCAAGACTGCCTTCTCACCGGGGCTATTGGCCCACGGCTCTCACAATATGATGAAAACAGGTCATTCTGTGCATGTTGCTGTTGCAGAATTTCATGACTCTGTCATAAATTTGTCTTGCCTTTCAGATATTTCAGATTTCCCCACCCTCTATCAGATTTATTTGAGAAATGTAGCCATGCACCAGGTGCGTGTCGCAGATGTTTTTGTTGATTCTGTTTATAATGGTTTATAATCATGGGTTATCGTGATAAGGTCATCCAGCATCATATTGCACTGAAATCGTTATCCTGTTGATGTCAATACAACTTTTGGAAGTAGTTCAATGACTTCAAACTGTTAGTCCCCGATTTTCTGAAACAACACAGCAAAGGAGGAACAATAAACATGTATTAAAATGTAAACAAATACATTGTTGAGTCCGACACCTCGTTCAACTACACTGATCCTGAGGATAAAAGGGTCAAGGCTATGGTTGGAGGTACTGATACTGAGAGATAAACAAGGCACTCCATGATAATAAAAGCTTACACATCTTTTGGTGAGTATGAATGATATCCAGTTGAACCTCTTTAGGACGAACACCAAGGGACCAATGGTATTTATGCTGTGAGTTTGTCTTAACCTATTTATAACCAGTGAATACAATTATTTCTCAAATAGACACACGAATAGATTTCTTCAACAGCGAAAGATTCTAAGCCACACCGACTCATTGACTCGTCTCGTATGAAACAAAAGAGTCACTAGAGAGGTTCTGCAAAACGAAAATGCGTACAAACTTTCGCTCTACATCATGAAGTGCGAAACTTCGCACGAACTTTCGCAACTGTGGAAGCGAAACTTGCAGGGAACGCGAAATGAACTGTCGTAGGAAATTTCGTGAGATCGGGTCATGGCGTACGTGCACTTGGCCCGCACAAACTATGAAAATGTGCAGAACGCAAAGTTCGTGCAAAAATTCGTACACACTTTCGCAAGGACTGTGGCGAAACTTCGTTCGAATTTTCGTTTTGCAGAACCTCTCTACTGAACCTTTCTTTAGCAACATGACGGCAACTGAAACAGCAACAGAGAAAGTACGATACATGTACTGCAAATTCTTGCAAGTACTACAGGTACTACAAACAGATTGCAGATCGTAATTCTTGCTTTGGCGGCACGAAACTTTATTTGGGGCAGTGCAATCTCGGCGGTACTCACAAATCAAACAGCCCAGACTCGAGAAAACAAATTCCAATCCTACAAGTGCGAGATTTTCATGAGACGAGACTGCACCCATTGGCTTGTTTCGTATGAAGCAAACAAGTTACTGAACCTCTCCACAATGGAGATTTTCCCTGATATGCGAATTTATTTGGCAAACTCGGTCAATGAGTCCTTGAACCTTTCCCTCCAGATTGGGAACTGCCAACGATAGTATGCCACTGACCAGTGCCTTACTTGTAACGTACTAAATACTGAACCTCTCCACAATGGAGATTTCCCTGATATGCGAATTTATTTGGCAAACTCGGTCAATGAGTCCTTGAACCTTTCCCTCCAGATTGGGAACTGCCAACGATAGTATGCCACTGACCAGTGCCTTACTTGTAACGTACTAATGTGCAATGAATATGAGTATTTCGACAACACATCTAACATAAGCCTTACCGTCAAGAAGGTGAACTCGCGTTCTTCGCACACTGTAGGCAAGGGCAAAGAGATAAAAATCGATCTAAATCCGAATAAAATCAGCACACGTTTCCGTAAATGAAAGGGTGAGCATAAGCAAATGAATCGAAGGAAAGTGGTCAACTCAGAGATCACCTAGCACCTGTCATTGAGTATTCCGTAAAAGGAGGCCTCGGCAGCGGAAAAGCTAAATTTAGAAAGGAGATCCTGTCAGCTTTTCCATTATTTATTGCATTCCGCCCAAAATCAGCACACTTTTCGTAAATGAAAGAGTCAACACAAGCAAATGAATCAAAGGGAACTGGTCAACTCACCTGTCATTGAGTAATATTCCGCGAAAGGAGGTCTCAGCAGCGCCGAAACGAAATAAGTCAGGCCAGGAGACGAAATATCCGAAACAGCTCATGCAAGAAGCAGTTCCAAAGAAGGAAGTTCCTCGTGCATGCACATCCGAAAAGGCAACAACAAAAAGTCTACAATGCACACGCATGCGGCCAGCCGGCCGCGCGATGGTACGAGGAGCCATGGAGTAGCTCCCTGGTCCAGGACCAGGTACCGAGCATCTTACGTAGAAACTTACGTAGCTACGTAGACAACGTGTCTGAATAGCGGTGTCGTTAGGTAGCGCCATGTGAACATAGAAAAGCTGACAGGATCGCTTTTCTAAATAACCCCCCCCCCCCCCCCCCCGTGTGCTCCCCAACGCATTCACCATGTTCACGCTGCACAACTTTTCACTATGTACTTTCACTTTAGCTCATACGTGTACATGTACATCCTTCAAAGCGGTGAACCCCTTGATAGGCGACAAGCCTCTGGGTCATCCTAATAAAGATATTATTATTATTATTATTATTAATTCGCACTTAGTGCTTTTCGGGTAGTAGTAGTAGTAGTAGAATTTATTATTTTGATAGGGAAGGCCCTACAGACGTTGCTGTCTTGTTACAGGGAACCCTAAGTGCTCTTTACAGAGCGAAACAAAAACGGATAGATGCTCAACCTGTCGGGTCCCTCAAAATATGCTGAAAAGTGCTCTTTTTTCAGTGAAAACAGGCAAAAAGTGCTCTTTTTTCAGTGAAGCAAAGCCATGATACATGTTCAGATATGAACCCAAGCTGAGAAATGAATACGCACTCTTCCATTAAATTAATGGGTCCACGAAAGGCAAAACAGGAAGTAAAGTTCAAAAACCCACATTTTACAGCATTGTGTACAACGGGTACAAGCTTCACCAACTTGTTGCCCCCCAAAACAGCGGCGTGCCAAGACCCATTGAGCACTCGGAAACTGTGATCGCATGCATGAGCAAACAGATTTTAGCACTTTTTCAGCTAAAAAGCTAAAAAGGGGCGATATTCACCAAAAAACGCAATAAAGGGCGAAAGAAACGGGCTTTTCCAAAAAGGGCCAAAAAGGGCGAAAAAAGGGAGAGCACCTTTGGGAAAGGGCTATTCAACAGTACACATACATGTACATGTATCATCCTTTTTTTACTCACCTCCCACCGCTTAGGAACTGCATCTGTGCCTTGATCCTAGTCCTAGATGAGGGTGGTGGCGTTCCTGCGGATCATGGCAGTGGAAAACTCGGCCTCCTGTCCATTTTTTTTTACGGGCCGAGGGCCCGGTCCCAATGTGCCCGGGTTAGGGGAGCTCCGGAGTTCTTCTGTACATGATTGCACTAGTCAGTGCCACTCATGTAGGCCGGTAGGCTCCGGCGGATTATGCTCGCGAAATCATGGTGCTTCCATGGATTCTCGCATTATGCTCCCAAAATCCTCATAATAATGCTTTGGCACGCGGGGATACATGTACATGTACATGATTCACCTTGTTGTACTTATGCGGAGCCTCAAAGTTCGGGAAATAATTAATTGTGCGCTTTTCGTGCTTGCAAGTGGCCAGAAGTACATGTACATGTACAACAAAACACATATACACGAGTATCCACAAGGTGTCCATGCACCAAGAGAGAAAGTGAATATTGAGTCCGTTCCGGTTTGCAACCTGTGTCCTATTTGAAACCCTCGCCTCTACAGACTAGACTACACTACACTCTACAGACGTACTGCAACTAAGTGCAAGCACTCTCCCCGCGCTTGATCCCCTGCCCTGCATGCAGCATATGCGCATGCATGCAGTCGCCGGCAGGGCGCAGCTCATGACTGGTAGATCTAGAATTCTAGTGTTGTGCTGCAGCTGGGGCCTGGGCCCAGTGCGGTGACAGTGATCTGGTGATCACCAAAATGATCATCTTTCCTGAGTAAACACTGCAGGCTTCACACTGCACTGTTCACAGCCTTCAGCTTCACGACCGGTCGACCGTCACTAATCAGTAGAACTGCAGCTGCGCGCTGCACCTCCGAGTCCGCTGCCGCGCGCTGGCAGTCGCTTCATCCAGAGGACGTGTTTGAGCGAAGTAAACATTATTATTCCATAGCTCCACTGTACATGTAGTCTAGATCAGTAGATGCTCTAGCTGCCAAGCGAACGCGTATTTATTTTGCTTGGATTGGGTAAGCTGCTTTGCAATTTCTCATCTGGCCTTACTGCCCTTAGTTCAAGGCTTACTCTGCAGTCTCTGGATATGGCTGACGAAATGAATCCTGATACGCCTCCGCCGATGCGGACCCGTAGTGTCAGGTGAGTACATAGCCTAGGGATAGACTCCGTTGATACACGCACACGCCTGTTTTCTGTACTTCCTATCAATATTGTTGGCTGCCATATCATGTATTTTGTTGGCGGTGAGTGCAGTGGAGTCCGCGGCAAGCTTTTACTTGTACGGATGTCGTGTCACGAGTCGACACACAGCAAAACGTCGGGCCTGACCAAGTCCTAGTACAGCAGTCCTGCAATTACCCGAGTGGCAGTTTGTAGGAGGCATCGGCAGGAGTACAGTACATGCTTTCTCACCAGGGTAACGCCGACGGGATAGAGAGATAGTGCAGTGGGGAAGAAACAAACTGGGGCTTCGACGACTGGACGAGGTTCAGACTGTCAGCACACCGCACACACTACACGTACCGCAACGCAGTACTGCTAGTACTAGTTGCTGCCCGTCGTTCGGCTCAACCATGTCAACTATAGGCTGAATGCGAGGCTCCTGAAACGCTACAGCTGGGCAATCATTTCATCCTACTGGGGCGAAGTTCTTCATTTTCTCCAGATATGGCCCGGAATCTTACCCATAATTAAATTAAATACCCGCTCATCATCAATATTGAAAATTTCTTATCCCACAATGCTGTAAAACGTAAACACTGCTTACTAGTATCATGCCCCCCCCCCTTCCGAAGTACTAGTGTCGCCTAGCATGCTAATGTGAACACTTGCTTGTGTGCACTCAGTGCGGAGGGAGAGAGTCTATATACAATGCTGGACGTAGCACAAGACGCAACGCAGAGCGACATTTCTAAAGCTTATCGGAAAGTAAGTACACGTACAGTGAGCTGTTACTCAGTTCACGTAGCCTGATGTAGACCCGTGCATGCTGCAATGCTGTGTGACGAGAGTGCCACCGCATTCAGTGGAGGTACTACAGTGAAAGCAAGTGAAATCCAACCCCATGATTACAAAAGAGCGGCATTCACTGCCCCGCACTATTGTTGGCAGTGCTGGGGTTGTGCAGCCCCTGTAGCTGTTGTATCAATGGGGTTGGATTTCACTTGCCATCACTGTGTTTTGTATAAGCTCACCGCCAGGACACGCTGTCCGAGGTGTGCGCAGCTGCTGCACGTCTATAGTATGACCGGATATTGGGCGCACGGCCATGTTGGTTGCAGCTACAAGTGCCGCCAGTAGGTTTGTGCTTGGTTGGTGTGATTCCAATCACCAGTCTTGCATTCAAAGTTGTGACCCTTTTTGGATTTGGATGCTGGCCAATGCCCAGTGGACATGCTCCGTCAAAGCACAACACATTTAGTAAGCATGTCCAGCTGTGCATACTGATAGTATCCATATAAACAGACTACCATTCTACATAATCGTGCACCGTTCTGGCCAGAGAAATCCAACCTTATTATCAATAAAGTAGTGCTGCACTCAAGTGCATCGAGTGGTGTACGTGGTGCTACGGCTGCGTAGCCTCAGCACTATTTTATTCATGAGGTTCCGATTTCTTTAGGTGGACATAGTACTCAGCATACAACATGATGTGTATGAGGTGATACTAACTTCTAGGGATGGATGTGTGGTTCTCTTTTCAGCTTGCATTGAAACACCACCCGGACAAGAATCCTGACAATGTAGACTTTGCCAATACGAAAGTAAGTGCTTGCTTGCAGAACAATGTCGCATTCAGTCTCTTTTGTTTGTTTCCAATCATGTGTTCACAGTATAAATGTGTTGAAGCCGTATGTAATCCCTGCATTCCAGTGGTTCATACGGCAGCAGCGAGGAATGTGTGCGGGTATCCGTTGCACTGGACCTTGTTAGCTGCACGTCCAGAGTCAAGGCCGTGACATGGCTTGTTGATGCTGTTGCAGATCAAGGAGCTGAACGATGCATATGCGGTACTGAAGGACCCGACCAAGAGGAAAATCTATGACCACTGGGGATCATACGGATTGGAAGCGGCCAAGAAGTTCGGAGATGATGTAAGTGAACCAATGTTAAAGTTTCAGATTCAATGATCAAACATGTAATGTTGATCATGGACGGACGTTTGACTTAAGTGCACTACTAGTATACCGAGACACAAAAAGTTAGTGATAGCCCGATGTATATGATGTGTGCGTGTGTGTTGTCCTACCAGTGTTGTTATGACCGTTCGAGTGGCAACCTCTTGCTGTATGCTATCTTGTGTGTGTGTGTGTGTGTGTGTGTGTGTGTGTGTGCGCGCGCGTGTGTGTGTGTGTGCGTGTGCAGTTCGTCTTATCCACGATCAAGATGGATAACTGGTGCATGAAGGTAAGCCAGCTGTGGATGTATGCATGCTTAATGACTAGCTGATGGCAAATCAACACCGGCACAGTATGCATGCGAATGTAAAAATTGCACACAGCTATCTGTACTACAGGACTATTCCTTACAGATGCGGTATGTCATAAGATTAGCTGAGACTCTCTGGCCCTAAATTCCTTGGTTACAGTGTAGCCAGGCGATGGGAAAAGTCAGTTCATCCAAGGTATTCACAACGCGTGCAGGCCCGCCAGAACCGGTTGGTTAGGTCATTGCCGGACCAACTTTTGGCCACCAGCACTTGCTTACTGCTAAGAAGGTCATGTGTATCTGCCATATCATACCCAAAGTATGCAAGGCTATGGTATGGCCGGACTAAGCAAAAACTGCGTCTGACTATCCTGACATGTACCTTGGAACATTCTCACAAAGGATTCTTACTGCCTGGCTAATCTTAGAACTGTAGCCTCTTTACTAGTATACGTATTTCTTGTTATTGCGCTACACAGGCTCTCGTGGGATTCTGCTGCATCATCACTGGATGCTGCTGCTGCTGTTGCCTGTGCTGCTGCTGCGGCCAGTGCTGCCAAGGAAAGGCGGGAGAGGGTGATGGCGAGGGCGCGGATATCCCAATGGAGGTGTTCCAGGAAGGAGATGGACAAAATGGTAGCACTCCTGATGACCATGTCGTAACTTCAGAACCGGTTTGAGCAACTCACAAAGCTTATTCCCGGTATGCTTGAGGTCCGTTCCAGCTAGCACCACGCTCCGTTCCCGATGGCTGATGTGAAGTTGCCAGCCGGAAACTGTCCAAGCTTGTTGATCATTTGCTGTCACAATCTGTCGGATGTCAGTTGCCCTAGTACAAAGCTCGACAAAGTCCTACAGCGGCTTGTCCTCTGGCCTTTTCAACCAATTCTCCTGCGCCCTGTTCCATCAACCCAGCCAGACAGGGTGAAATGGCGGGCAACTGTGACAACAGAGCCTTCAACTTGATAATTATAGCCATCATTTGACAGAGGCTAACTTCCTAGGATACTTGCACCAATTTTGTGTTTTACACTTTCCATTGACCAGCAAACCCTTTAGACTCACATCACATGACACTGCGATCATCCCAGCAGACCCAGCTCAGGCCCATGGCAAGGAATCAGAATGTTTCCTGGTTGGCCTGGTACACGTCAACCTGTACCTTCCTGGAAACTGCTTCTATAACAGGCAGCTCGAGTAGCTGTCACTCCAGTGCAGCGTTCCTGTTGCTCTGATCGAGAATTGGACAGCACACAAGGTTCACTTTGCACCGCCGTGTGAATAGTCAGTCATTCAGGTTTTTAAATACGTTCATTGTTCCCTTGAAGAAACATAAGCCGTTTCACCTTGACAACAAATATGCTACTGCACTAGAACATAAAGCTTTCTCTCTTATCCATCTATACTATTTTATTTGAATGCCTCGCACATGTTTGTTATTTGGTTACATACACAGTATCAAGGAAACTTTGAGCCGTTTTTTAAAGAATTTTAGAAAAAATAATTATAGTATTTTGGGAAAAAAAGAAAAATAGTGAATTGTCAATTTAAATTCTGCATCGGAAATAGGCCCAATGTAGGAGCTAGCAACCAAAAATCGAATTACAGATGCACGCTTTACATGGTCATTCTGTTACAAGCCTGTTGTCGAGTCAGCTCCTCTGTGTGAGCCATGGTCCTGGGGGGTGACCGGATCACATCAGGCGAGGCTGTTGGGCTTGATATTCTCACCATCCCAGAAGTCCTCGACCGTCTGGTTGGCCTTGTAGCCAAAGCGCCCAAACAGCAGGCGAGCGTTACGGTCCAGAGCATCGATGGCCGCCATGTCTCCCTCTTCCAAGTGGATGTCCTTGGCGGCCAGGTTCTGAGCTATGCGTTCTGCGTGTACGGACTTGACGAGCAGTGGAACTCCACTCTGGTACTGCCAGGCGATGGCCACCTGCGCAAAGCAACACAGCGACGATCATCAGTATTCCACGTTGATAAGTTAGTTAAACTTAGTTTCCCTCAAGTTGCTTGAGTATAGAATAATATCATTATCTTTCTCCCCCCCCCCCCCCCCTGCGAGCACGATAATCTAAGTGAACGCTATCTTGGGGTTACAACACGGGAACAGAAACCTGTACTGTACCGTCTGGTTAGGACACACTCAGGCGCCAGAAGATATTTCTCTCGGTGAAAAGTTAATTACACAAACACTCCGATCAGGAATATACCTTGTGTGTAAGCAGAGATGTCCAAATTTCGTAAATTTTGAAAAGGTGCATTATGTCAGTAGTAGACTCAGTACAAACACACGCACCCCCCCCCCCCCCCCACACACACATTTACTCACACGCACACAGACTTCTCACTGACCTGGGCAACTGAGCAGCTGTGCTTGGCAGCAATCTCCTTCAGTGCTGGGTCGGCCATCACAAGCGGTGCATTGGCCTCGCGATTACGCGGCGGTCTCTCCGGTGCACCGAGCGGGGAATAGGATTGGAACTGGATGCCTGCGTAAAATACCGCAGAATGGTTACGATCGCTTGTGTGGTTGAGAGGACTAAAAGGAAGTAGTGAACCTGTGCCCTGTTGTTCCACTATCCGACTGTATAATATCTCGTTACCTCGGTGGACTGTTAGTAAATACCTCGTACGAGAACTTATTCGTCCTTTCTTCTTCTCAATAGTACAAGTACACCTGTACTGTGCTGTATTCACTAATACGCAGTATTGTAACAAGTAGCCGATATAATAATTTAATATTGGATATGCTGACACTTGCTGGCATTCAGTGCATTGCAGCAGAGCCCACGTCACGGAATGTGCACGGGCATGGCAATAAAAAGGAATGTAGGAATGAAGGAAGGGTTTACACTCAAATGGATGTGTTTAAAAAGGCCACCACAGCTGTGGACTTCCATAGCTCCACCCCCCCCCCTCTCTCTCAAAGTTATGAGCTGTGATTTCCAGGTTTGAACTTCCCTAAACAAATCTAGATTGAATCTGAAGATTGGTGACGGTAAAATTACCTGATTTCTTGCAGAATTCCTTCATCTTTCGCTGTTGAAAGTATGGGTGGCACTCGACTGCATGAATAAAAGGAAGCAGAAAGTAAGGAGCAAGTAATGACAAGGTCCGCCGCCCACATTGCTGCACATACTGTAAAAGCAGAAATTTTCGGTAACTTCGGCGCCAACAATTTTTACCGAAAATAAACGCAACGAAAATTTCGGTAGAACCGGTACTGTATACATATAGTATTAGTACGGTTACCTGGAAACCGGGTTTTACCGAAAATTTCCCTCCACCGAACCGCCAATTTTGGAGAATACCGAAAATATTACACCATCGAATATTTCTGCTTTTACAGTATTGTACTTTGACACCTTATTTGAGTTATCCGTGCTGTATACAGACACACATGCAGTATCAGGCCAGCAAGGCATTCACACACATACACACTCATGGCCAGACACACACAAACGCGAGCAAGCACATACACACACACACACACACACACGCGCGCGCGCGCGCACAAATCTCACCCTCCTATTACACCGACTCTTAGACACAACCTGAGCCATCTACCTGACAGTGTATCTGCACTGGTTCTCCTCTATCTTCAATGATCTTCGCTACTACACATGCACAAAAACACATCCTAAATCTTCAAGAAATCTTCTGTGTTAGCGCGTTCTCTTCCTCACTGTCTTCTATCTCTTGTTCGTCGCAAGTTGCACAATTTCTACTCACCTCTCTGAGTTTTTTTCGCTCCATTTTTCTTTCTTTTGTATTCCTATTTTCTTTAACCATCCTTCATATCTAGTATGGTGCACCCGGCCAGCCAGCAATGATAGTCGGATTTCCCCCATCAAAGCCGTTCTTCTGCATTCACTGTACAGGCTACTCTCGATAAGCCGCGAACCCGATCCTGGTCAGACCAAAATGTGTGGCTTATATACAAAATACAAAAGTACATACTGTTCAGATTTCAAAAGCGCACGACTTATCGTGAGTGCGCAACTTAAAAGTATGCTACATATCGTTAGTAAACATGAAGGTTTGTGGTTTTCGTAAAGAACAAACCCCACGCACACATGTACTTTACCTTGATGAACGGCTGGCTTTGTTTTGATGTCCTCAAGGAAGTTGAACAGCTTTCGCTCCGTGAAGTTTGACACGCCAATGGCGCGTACCAGGCCACGCTCTACAAGCTTCTCCATCTCCTACAAAAGGAACGATGCATGCATCGCAACGACACAATCACAACATAACCAATGTTGTGTTGCTAGTGTACGTGTACGGTGATAATGGGGGCACTGAATAAGAAATAGAAGCACCCACAGTGGGGTGATATTCACCCAAACGCTTACGTGCTTTCCAGGCCGTAGAAAAAAAAAGAGAACTAAACGACTGGGCCTGTCCGGGATTTGAACCCGGGACCTCTCGCACCCAAAGCGAGAATCATACCCCTAGACCAACAGGCCACTCCACGGTCTTGCGTATGTAGCGACCTCACCTCCCGAGTATTACGTCATTCTACATACGCATGCGCAAGAAATAAAATCATTCTCTTTGGTCACAACTTCTTCGTTGTCCGGTTGGCCAAAGTAGCCGTCGTCTAGGGCCCGACGTAAAACCCTAAATTGGTGACCCCTGACGCTGCGCTCTTCGGAGTTTTGAGCATGCCATCCCTGAGCTCGGCCCGCCGCAGTTTCCTGCTCGCCTCAACTCTCGGGATCCCGTCAATCGCCGGCTGTTGACGTAAAACTTGAGCCTCACCACCACTCGTCACTGGATCCGCCTCGGAGCTGCTGTGGCCCCTGCCACCCTCCCGGCCCACCTGGATACCCCGCTATCCTGCCACGGCACATCGTCCAGTCGTCTTCGTCCTGGCCTGAAGCTGGAAATTGGCCACCTCCACCCGTCGTACCAGCTCACTCACTGTGCACGCACGCAGGCACACGCCCGGCACCGGACCCCATGGAGCTGCGCTCGCCTCCATCTGTCCCCGCCTCAGTCGGCACGCCTCGCCCCAGTGCAGCGCTCCTGCTGGTATCCCGCCAAGCCTGCAACATGCAGCCGCCTCTGACACGATAACACTCCTCTGTCACGCGTACATTTCCTCTTTTCTTTCTTTCTGCCTCTGACATGCTCTCCACCTCTGTCACGTTAACACACCTCTGACATGTTAACCCGCCTCTGTCATGCATCTCTCTCTCTTTCCTGCTTTTCTGATTTTTGTTTCGGCATTTGTGCCACGTTGTTTAACAAATTTCACGCACGCAGCGCTCTCGCCTGTACATATGTATCATATTATTATATTTTTGCCTTTCCGCCTTGTACATGCTGCGCTTTCCTTTCTCTTCTCTTTCTTGTTTCTTGTTTATCGTGCTTCGCTCCTCCCGACCTCACCACTGGCGGGGGAGTACTGTAGCGACCTCACCTCCCGAGTATTACGTCATTCTACATACGCATGCGCAAGAAATAAAATCATTCTCTTTGGTCACAACTTCTTCGTTGTCCGGTTGGCCAAAGTAGCCGTCGTCTAGGGCCCGACGTAAAACCCTAAACGTATTCTGCTACAAGTCCTCTATTTCACGGTAGAGAATAAGTATACATGCCGTCTCTGCACCCCTTGTTCTCCCTGTCAAACCAGTGGCAGTAGGATGCAAACTTGAGCCCAAGGCACACCAACCGGCCTCTAGTAAAGCCCAACTGCCAGATATGCAAGTGTCACAAGGTGCCCCTCCTCGTATCGTATCAAGTTCCCGGCTATGTAACACTGATGTGATTCTCAGTGTCCATGGCTGGAGATGATGTGTCCGTGCAGTGGTAGGTGAGATAAAGGGAAATCTTCGAACAAGTACATCTTAAAACATTTCCACTCAGGCATTCGAAACAAGGACAGTTGAAACAAAACATGAAATAATCGGTGCGCTGCTAAAAATGCATGAGAAAGCAGTTACCGTAAAAGTCCGTAAATAAGGACGTTTAGCAATGCGAAAATTCGAACTTTTTGTGGTGGTGATATTTCGCGAAAATCTATTTCGAAAAAGAAAACTTGTGAGGTTTAGCAATGCGAAATGACTTTTTCTCGAAGTTATTTGTATCTTATAGTACCGTACCGTATATGCAGCTCAGTCTCAAGCAGGGGCTGTAAAATTACTACTCCCTGTAGTCAAATGCGTACCGAGAAAAGAGAAAGTTACTTTCGCAAATCACTGCAACTTCGCGTCCAAGTTTTCGAAGTTTCGAGCTTTTTTTCTGTACTCATTCCCAGACTCGAATTTTCTTTCGAACTTTCGCATTGCTAAACGTCCTTAATAATTACGTATTTACTTTCGAATTTAGTGACCACACCCGTACTAACTTTCGGGCGGGTACTGACTTTCGGGCACGAACAAACTTTCGGACCTGACTTGTGTGTAGTGCACAAGTCATTTTCATGTCAACGTACATGCTACATGCTGCATGTGCGCATCGTACCGGTACTTATTTCGGGCAGTATGTTTATCGGGCTTGACTTGACTTCAACAGACAGAGCCAAACGAATGAAGGGGGTATTTCTTTCGGGCAGGTACTTATTTACGGACTTTACGGTATGTACTGGTTATTGGCTTACCCGCCATGTTTCGACCACCATGTCACGAGAGTAGCCCAGCTGGTCCGACGGATCAATCTGTCCTGGCTGAGCAGCACCTTTCCGTATTCTGATTGGCCAATGCATCTGCACGAGAGTCAATGGGATGAAAATGTGTAAATCACTATAATACTGCAAGTACTGCAGTTTGAAATACAGTACAACATAATTCGAAAGATGTGTACGTTGCATAAAACAAGCATCATACAATGGCACTACATGTATATACTTGTACCAGGGGACATTTTGCCGGACCAGTTTTTCAGACTTCCGTATCTACGTCCAACGGCACAAACTATAAAGCTCCAAACTCTCCCCACTGTAATTCATTTCACCGTTATGCAACATCTGCTTCTCTATGTCATTACGACTTCCTTTCTTCTCTACCAATGCTGTTCAATAGTGTAGAGAAGCTACCCCAGGCCAAGCCTCTAGCCAATCCTTGAATAAAATAAAATAGTTACCAAGTACAAGCAAGAGTAGATAAACAAGAGTGTGCAACTCGCGGATGGGTTGGCCCACGGCGGAATTTTTTGTTGACGTAATCTTTTCGACGACGCACGCGCTGCGAGCCTTTTGGAGAGTTTTCTCTCGTGCACTTGGCGGGGCTTTACACTACAAGGTCGGTGCCCAGCACGTGCTCTCACACTGCTCTGCGGCAGAATCCGCGTTTCTCTGAAAAAAGGTGACGTAAACAAAAAATTCCGCCGTGGGCGCGGGGTATCTGCAGATTGTGCAGGAGAGATCCGGAGTTGCACACTCTTGTTTATCTACTCTTGCTACAAGTAGTAAGACTCACCAGGTAAAGGTCAAGGTGATCGACACGCAGGTCTTTCAGCGTTCGCTCACATGCCCGCAGAACATCGTCGGGTGCAAAGTCAGCACACCTGTACCGTGACATGGGAAACATAGCATTGTGTGAGCAGATTCCAGTGCGGATGGGAGATTTCAAAGGGAGTGCCCCCCCCCCCCCCCGTATAATCCGTGGACTAGCTAGGCAATGCCCAACCAATAGACACCCTTAGCAAACAACGGTAACGCTATTTTTTACGGTACTCGTACCTTGATCATCCAAATAGCGTTGAAGCTGCAGCGTATAAACGTTATGGGGGCTGATTTATCGTTGTGACCAACGGTACGTGTTTTGGCCAAATATTGCATAGTCCGTACGCATTTCACCTTGTATCGCGTAGATGGTGACAAAAATGGTTGTACCGCGCGAAATCAGTGGCAACAGCGTACTAAAAATAGCGTGCATCTTGCTAAAGGTCGAACCCAAATCACGGTATTTTCCCCCTTACGATAATACCGTTACAACATAACGTCTTTTGCTAAGGGTGTCTAATGTCTCATACATGTACCTGTATAGAATTGTGCACACTCAGCGATGGGTTATCAAGGTAACTGCCATCGACTATCTATTCCAGCGTTAGGGTGTTTCTCCTTGCAGTAGGTCAACAATGGGGAATAAAAACATCTCCACTTTACACTGACAATTGGCATTACAGCATGAGATAATCTCCTTATATCAGAGGCTCAGCGGCCCGGTTTCCTCCTGCGGCAAAGCTGGAGATATATCTAGGTATGCAACTCAGGTACATATATACACCTGCCCGATACAACACTAACGTTGTCTTGTACCGGTACAAGCAACTGCATCAGTGACAGCTACGGTTCTCCAACCCAGGCCAATCATTCGAAAAGTAGATTGGAAGGAGCAAGGAGCAGCCTCCATCAGAACATTCCCAGTAATAGAGCTGTTATAATCAAGCAGTAGCCGCAAAGGGGACAAAAGGGGTTCGGGACTACCATCAATCGCGATATCCACATGAACGTATACTAACCATAATTTGCTCGTGATCCAGAGGTCTTCTCGCTTGATGTAGCCTGAGGAGAAGGCCATCTCGAGCGCTGCACCGACCTCCTCTTCATTATAATAGACATGGGCGCAGTCAACATGGTTGTAGCCTATTTTCAGAGCTTCAGCTATGGCAGCATGAACTTCTCCTGGTCTCGCCAACCACGTTCTACAACAAGGAGCGAACAATCAGTGTTATAGCTAACCGTTGATAAGAACACAAAGCATACACTTTTCTTAGTTTGCAAGAAGAAGAATAGGAAGTGGTTTTAAGCTGCAGGAAGCCTCGCCTCATCTACTAAGAAAAAACGTCTTTAAAAAAAAACAGAACCTGACCTGGACTACAGAAGCTGGATCCCTGAAAAGAAAAGTTCCCGTATTAAAAAGGGGAAATGACAATCTGGTTACGACAACAGGGTGTTCGATTTGAACACCCCCCCCCCCCACACACACACCCAGGAATTCATCCTAAGCTGTATTTACTACCTCCGCCATGATGTGTCGTGAAACTTGACACAGGTAAACAACGGTAAGTCACATATGTAGGAACTCTGAACAATTTCTTCAATAGAGGCTCACCCAATACCAATCATTGGCATTTTGGCTCCATTGTTCAGCGTGACTGTCTTGATTGCATTGCTCTGCATTCATAGATACATTGTACACAGAAAAGAATGGACTCTCAGAAAGTGTAAGCCAGCAACTAACCCGGGGTAGAGGTGCACACTGATGTGACAGAATTCTGCTTGATCCAGAGGTGCAAGTTCGGTCTACAGCACTTTGGTGCATGAAAGTTTGCCCGTTCAATACAGGATTGCGCTTGGTACAGGGTCCGGCTAACACAGGTTTTACTGTACACTCAAAATGCCCTTCATGTATCCGGATTTTTCCACCAGCCCTGCAGCTGCGTAGCCCGGGCCACGGTCCATTTGAAGTGGTTCCCAGCTACATGTATCTAGACTCTGTATGCCGGACGCCATAACAGCAGTAACACACTACTGGCAATATGCATGGCACTATACATGTGTAACATGCTGTCGAAATCGAAAACATAGTACAGTAGTATGTAGTTGTGACAAAATTGGTGACGATGGCGAGAAACTTTGATTGGTGGCAACTCGGACCTTCATGGCATTGGGCCAATACACAATATGAGGAGGGTACTTAGAAGAGTATAATGGGGGAGGTGCGAAGGAAATTACACTAATGGTAGGTCACTAAGGTGCAAGAATGATGAGAATGATGAGAATGATGAGGAGATACTGATGTTACTGGCTAAATAAACCATGTCCAAAGTAGCCATAGCCCACCTCACAGTGATGCTGCCGCACTGCTGCCATTGTCATGCGTGGCAAGCCACCACCGACCTGAGAGGACAGGCACAGAAGTACAGTCAGACCTCTTCAATCTGACCGAACCTTGATTTAGTGGCATAATTTCTCAAGAAGCGGATTCTTCCATTCTCAATCCGTCTTCACCCGCTCCTTCCCAAACACACTCATGCCCGTGCTCGACGTTTATCCGCCCATGCATGCGCAATGCACACATGTATACCTGGTATTACAGAGCACGGTGCACATGAGTCAACCGCGGGCTACGTAGACTATCGTAGGCTAGACGGATCAAACGCTCACATTGTGCTGTCATAAAGCAAGCCGAGAATCGTATGAGACAAGCACCCACAGTTACCTCTGGTATACACAGCATGAAAAGGAAACACAATTTGATAAGCATATTATCATGATGTGCTGATGTTCTTGAATCCAGCAGAAGTGCACCAAACAGATGCCACTGGCTAAAGAGGTCTAACAGTACATGTATAACGTTGAGGAGTGATTAGTACTACACCTGATGCACTCAGCACTGCATGCGTGTTTTAATTGGAACACCATGTTTCCCCCTCTCGCCTCGCTCTCTTGTATGTCCAGGCTACCTGTTTCGGAACTACCAGTTGCCTGATGATCCCGATTTGTGCAGAACTCAGAGTTGCAACACAGCTCTCTCTCTCTCTCTCTCTCTCTCTCTCTCTCTCTCTCTCTCTCTCTCTCTCTCTCTCTCTCTCTCTCTCTCTCTCTCTCTTCTCTCCCTCCACTATGTGAAATGCTCTGCCCCACACAGGCATTTTGAGCACTCTTTGGGCAGTGGAGCACCCAATTTGATTATGGGTTCTATTTTGAATGCGTAGCAAGAACTTTCATCGACGCTACAACCCTTCACGAACTCTGGGTCTGGTGGTGCAGAGTGCCAGTTGCTGCAATGAGCCTCATGAGTCTCATCACACATCAAATGCACTAGCACGTGACCTATGACTATGGGCATGATCTGTGCGCTGTGTCATTATTGCTTCAGCCAATTCCCATTTGGCCGGACCACGGTGCTACGATCCTGGCTATGCAATACATGTACATGAGGACTGCTCAAGCACACCTCTCCGGCTTAGAATGCTGGACCGAAGTGTGCAGATGTTATACACACATTACAGTAAAACTCCCCTAATCCCGGCGGGCAGGTTGGGACCGAGCACTGCCCTAATCCGGGTTGCAGGTTGGGACCGAGCACTGCCCTAATCCGGGTTGCAGGTTGGGACCGAGCACTGCCCTAATCCGGGTTGCAGGTTGGGACCGAGCACTGCCCGTAACTCAGAACACACATACTTATATTGCATGCAAGTAAACACATTTTATGCCAATCAATAGTTTTTGGTGCTGTTTTTTGTCGAAATTATCGCGGCCTATTTTGTGACCTTGTAGATAGGTGCCCGGTAGACGGACGTGCCCGGATTAGAGGTGTCCAGATTAGGGGAGTTTTACTGTACATGAACTACGTATAAACACTGAATATACTTGTACAATCCGATGAATCGTGTATGATTATATCGTATTACTATTAGCCTGAAAGCGAAGTTCATGATGCCATTGTATGGCAACAATCTACACTACTACAATCATGTATATCTGCAAGCACTGCAATCACCGTGCATGCCCTACACCTAAGACTAAGTCCTTGTACACAGGCTGCAGCTACAGCCTTACACAAGTTACAGGCTACATCCATCCGCGAAGCACTACAGACAGTAGACTGCCATGGCATACTACTAGTAGTAGTACTAGTAGTACTAGTGAGGGCGAAATAATAGTCTAATAATATGGTTATGGAGGTAGCGTTACTTACTCGTTTCAGAAATGCCATGCTCAGTCGTCCTTGGCTTAGGTCAAGGATACGAATCTTGTACAAATAGACCGCTAGGACGGAACAAGTAGACTGTGAGTGTGACTGTGTCTGGCCACCGGCGCTGCTACTACTAATCCAAGTAGTTTGTTCTTGCTGTCTACAACTAGTACAAGTAACCATCAAACCCTGCTTATTTCTTACAAAATTGAAGCACTGGAGAGATTTACAGTTGAATAGACCAAGTACACGTATTATGCCGTAAAATAAGTAGCGGACCCGGTTCTGATGTTTTACGCTAGACCGTCATCTGGTCATTTCAGGATTCTTTGCCGGTCCTATGCTCTCGTAGAAATCTTGTTTGTGGTAGAACTAACACCTGAACACAGCAGCTTCATGGAATCATGTTCGTGCGACTCGCAACTGACGGTGTCGCATTCGCAGTCAAGTAGATCTATACTATAGACTAGTCTTGAGCGGTGACGGGTCGATCGAGTGTCTGGATAAGTGGATTTGCACAACTCGAGTCCATCCCGATCCAGCGCACGCCTGTTTTGTCAGATCATGTCATCAGGTCATGGCGGTCAGATGATCAGTCAAGTGTCACAACTCACACACCGTGACACTCACTGACTCAGTGTGCATACTATACTACAGGGCTGCTAACTGAAATCCGACCCCATGAGCGGTGGGTTCACATTCTTTGCGATGTGAGCGCACCGCTCAGGGGGTCGGATTTCAGTTGCCAGCACTGTACAGCACTCAGCAGTACAGTCAGTACGTACAACGTCAAACTAAAAAAAGTCAAAGCTGGCCCGCTGTGTTTATCGCAGCACATCATACCCACTGGCACTGCGCACTGGACAACCAAACCTCTACCGTACCAATGAATGTATCACACTGCTCTTCTGTCACCTGAGAAGTTGTTTCTAATTTGTTCTGCCCTTTGTGGGGTATTCTAACTATTCTTGCTGAAAAATCAATCGCCTATTCAATTTCACACAGGTACGTACAGCATGACCAGGGAGTCGTAAATATCCCCCGAGGTATTCTACGACTCCCGGAGCATGACTGCCTTCGGAGCTCCACAAAGATGGAGGTAGTGAAACTGACCCTATCAGAACTAATTCTCTTGAGAACAAGCAAAAGAGATGCCTACTATACGGTCATGTAGTCTCCCTTGTGGCTCCCCCCCCCCCCCCCCTTGCAGATCCCTCATCAGCTGAACACTTTCACTACGAGCTGTATTTATTCTTACAATTCATCTCAGTGTAGATTCCTATATGCATTCACATACCCCGGGGAGCAGCACACTACCGTAACTTATTAGAGAGTTAACGCTTCACGGTTTTTTCTTCGAATTTCGAACGTGAGATCTCACAGTCAAAATGGCGCATCTCGCGTTGCAACCTGAGATTTCAAAGCGACAGAGGGCCAACTCACGGTAAAAAAAGGCGATTCAACGCACGGTTTTTTTTCTCACGTTCGAAATTGACCAACGTAAAGCGTAAACTCTCTGTTATGCGTTGGCAATGACATGCAAAATCACACACGGCACAATCAGAGCAACCGCAATTTCTTTCATAAACATCCAAGAGACAGTGTGTTGAAGTGATCGATCACCCATTATAAAATCAAGGGATTCAAAGCAGAATTCGATGGGGCACACAGTGAACTACTGGTGGTGGCTGGATACTATTGCTACCGAGAGAAGCCACCGCGGATACTATTGCTACCGAGAGAAGCCACCACGTCCACCGCGAGGTGAGAAGCCACGGCCACCGCCTCCACGGGGTGAGAATCCTCCACGTCCTGAGTAAAAGAGCGGAGAAAAAAAGAGAAAGAATATACGACCCAATTTGTGATGATTTACAACAGGAGTTCACAGACTCAACAAGGCCAAAACAAGCAATCCATGCCTCATGTCATACAAACTGGTGGAAACAATTTTACAACACTCACCGCCGCCACCGCGACCACCGCCGAATCCACCTCCACGGCCACCACCGAATCCGCCGCCACGGCCACCGCCGAATCCACCTCCACGGCCACCACCAAATCCGCCGCCGCGACCTCCAAAACCACGGCCACCACCGCGAGGACCGCCACGGCCACCACCTCTACCACCGCGACCACCTTGTAGAGATAGGAAAAGACAAGCGAAAATAAATATAATGATGGTGCATCGCATGCGCAAATGTTACAGAAGTTTTCATTCGAGAAAAGCAAACTAGCTGGAAACTACAAACTGAACTGGTTCTCTTTGAGGCATGTCAATTAAATATATCCTAAACACTGAAAACAATTCGAAACATGCAAGGGCAACGCCATTATAATTAATTACATCTCCCATGATATCAACCACAGACAAAAACAGAGAATCGTCATCTGTCAGGCAGCCAACACATTTCAATCAGCAGCGCCGGCAAATTTTCAGCCCGCCTCACTAAAATTTAGCTACCAGTAGATCTGAAATAAAGTGGCAACGAGCGTCTCATGCAGATGTACAGTGCAGGTCAATGCAATCCAGCCTCTCAGAAAAGATAATTACTAATCAGTGCAGGGTTGTGCAGTGCCTCATAAACATCAAACCCTGCATGGTTCCATAAAATAGGTTCCATGTGCCAAAGACAAAATCTCACTGGACACAACTGCAACATGGGCATCTTCAGCACACCAAGAACTCACCTCGTTGATTACCGGACAAGAAGCGAGCCATGGGCAACAGGCGACCAGGATCGCAGAAGAACTGAGCAGGGTACAACAAAAGAAAACCAAGAAAATGAACACTTTCAAGTCGGGAACAAAAAGCATACGTGGGTACATGAGGCCAACGTTGGTCAAGATAAGAACTCGAATAAAGGCCAAAAAGTAGTTAAGATATGTTGAGGATACACCAAGAATAGAGGTAGGATAGAAAGGGCGCAAGGAACTCGATATCCTCCCCCCCCCCCCCCCCCATGCAAAAGCTTAAAGCAAAAACATACCTTCTGCAATTTATTGAAGGAGTCTGCACCCATGTTGGGAGACAATTTGACAGAAAAATACTGCAACACACACTGGTTAAGGAGAAAAACAATTTGCTGAGGGCGAGCACACAGCTGTAGATCAGACCAACACAGCCTAGCGTAGGTAAGCTATATGCTATGTGGTATGAACCTGGTGAAGATGCTGGATCCCAACCACTTCTAGAATCCACTATCGTAGGGTGTACACCACAGAAACTGCACAGCTGTCGAGCCCTGACAACCAAAATAATCCTTGATGAAGCTGTATTGGCTACATTGCACTATACGCTGTCATTGACGAGAGAGCTTGGAAGCTCAGGGCCCTAAGCTATGCTTTTTTGCCTTCATGACCTAGACAAAAAAAAGCATAGGGATGTTATAAATTCTTTAAAAAATTCCTTTTTTTAAAGACATAACCTGGGATTCGAACCCGCACTATCGCGCCCTGCATGCATCCCCCGATACACTTCGCATACATACTAATTCTTCCAAGTTGCTTCACGTTATGATCTTGCATTTGAAAGCCCTATTTGAATACGCATTGTGGCCAGCCGTCTTTGATGGTACGGCACGGGACAGGTACGGGACAGGTACGATCGAGGGTAATACGACACCGTCTACCGCCTTGATGACGGCAAAAAAAGCATAGGGATGTGATAAATTTTTCAATTCTCCTATTTTTTCAGGCATATCCTGGGATTCGAACCCGCACTATCGCCCTACATGCATTCCCCCATACACTTCGCATTCATACCCATTCTTCCAAGTTGCTTCACGTTATGATCTTGCGTTTGAAAGCCCTATTTGAATATTGATGGTACGGTACGGGACAGATACGGGATAGCGCCAGGCGTGACACAAACACACAAAACAAACACACAAATACCAAATTAAAGCTGTGTGGACCCTGGCTAGCGCCAGACGTTACTGAAGTAACGTCTTCTGCATAGCTACGGGAATAAAGTGGATTGGTTCCTAACTGCAGTGCTGCAAGCATTTCATTGACTACCAATACATCTGCTCTCCAGCTACATGTATCTTTCTAACGCAGTGAGAACAGCATATTATAACGGTGAATGTGGGAGGATACAAAGTCGTTCATCGGTCCGAAGATCTCGTCCACCTTTCCGATTTGCGATTTGTTTTCCAGAAAGACGGGCGCGTTGAAGTAGGGTACCTTCTCGTTTGTACATTTGCAAACCAGTTCACCCTCACAGGGATGCATCATTGTTCCCAGCTCTGTGCATGAAGAAAACGAGACCAACAGATTTGGTCAGCAACAACAACTAGCATTACACAAGTATCGTGTTTTCCGGAGTACAAGCCGCACTTTAAACACTCATTATTCACCCGAACAGCTGTGTGGCGTATACTACGACGGTCAAATGAACCGTGAAATATAGGGTAGATGTCTGTATTTCGTGACCAAAATCTGGGTGCGGCTTAGATTCCAGAAAATACAGTATACACACGTAGATTGCACCACTCTCTGTTCAAATAAGGAGCAAATTCAGATGAAAACAGTGCTGCTGAATGAAATAATGGCTTCATGCGTCAGCTAACTTTCAATTCCACAACTTTTTGCGGGCAGAGGCCACCCATTTGTCAGCATAGATCATCTCCCCACACCCAGGCCTGGTGGTTTTCCATCGCATAAGCATGAGCAATGCCACAGATTGAAGTGAGGATATTCCCGATAAACTACAATTTCAGCAGCGAGCAATACCTAGTTGAAGTTGAAGCTAATGGGGCACAGAATGTAACTCTGTACTGTAACTTATGGTGTAGATATTACTATTAGAGATTTTCACTTCAGATACTATATCCATCTTTCAGGATTGAGGAGCTGTCTCCATGTCAGTAATCAGCCAGTAGCACATTTCTTCGGCGAGAATTGAATCATATGCAGGTGAGAGCGGAGTAACATACAACAACCCACATCTATTCTCAGCGAATGGCAACCATACCCTGATCATCACAGATTGCGCAGTAAAATGCATCCAGAGTGCAAAATAATTCAGGAACGTACCGACAACCTCCTCCGGTGGGCCTTGATCATACTGGTTGAATGATCCGCCACCTCGGCCTCTTCCACGGCTGAAGCCTCCACGACCTCCTCGGAAGCCTCCTCGGCCGCCACCACCACCTCCTCCACGGCCACGGAACGACATGCTGGCCGAGTTGGAGAGATGACTTCTAAACAAAAAGCTAAAATTTCATTTGCAGAGTCCTCAGCATGCACATGGCCTGAATCATGCCGTTCGTCCGGATCGTGCAAATTATTTTTCCACGGAACAGAATCTCCTTGGAAACATCAAGACCTTGTACCCGGCCACATGGTACTAAAAAGATTTGTACACAAATTTTGCGCTCGTGCGATATCGATCGCGGTTCGATGACAGCCAGCATGCAGCCTTGCAGGTGGCCCGCGATATGCGATCCACCTCCGGTCTGGTCCTCTGCCTCTGAGTCTGAGATTCCTCTCCTACTTGTCCGAGATCTACCAGCTCGTACAAGACGACGTCGTTCCATCCTGGATCGTTCAGGAAAAAATGAGCCTTATCTGTGGGTTTTTTTTAATTGGTCCATGCAAACTCATATTCCATATTTGCACTCCCAAAAAAGCCATTAATTTTAGTGATGTACACATACATGTACACATACAGTGTAACTGTATTACTTGGTCAATGATGTTGCCATCACATCACAATCGCATCCAGAGAAGCCACTCAATTCTTCTTTTTGGAGTGGGTGGTCATAAAATAATAATTAGAGAGTCATGTAGTTTAGAAACCGTTTCAGTCACTTCCTGCCTGTAAAAAAACCCGAAAGGCAACCAGCCTGTCCAAAGTCCTTATGCCCAGGGCTGGTGAATACACGGGCATATTTTCCCTTTAATATACGGCTGTTCAACCTCATCAGTGTGCTGAAGCTGGACGCCCATGCATACAGTTCTGTCGGTCGCCTCCTAGCCTTGACCGTTCCTATTCAGGTTCATGCATTACAGTCTACTCTATGCACAGTTGAGTCACCGTGTATACATTGGTATGCTGTGTTTGGTAAGATTCTAGCCTGGTCGTTCTTCGGCGCTCCGCAATGTGTACACGGGCAATTGTCTTCAGTATAAAAAAAATACAAATATACTACATGGTACAGTGTAGTACACATGGAACCTTTCCCTGCACCAGTGCATGCGTACAGTTAAACACAAGCAGACAACAAAAGGCACAATCATGCACATGTATATGGCATCGTTGTACACGGGACTGCTTGGTCGCACTGGAGATCACCTGGTGATGTTGCACACATGTTGGCCAGTGTTCATAATCAGTGCCTGAGCATAAATCATACTTCGTATTTGCTAATTTGTATTGCTCGTCTGAGTACTAGTATTGCTTTGCATTCAAGACTTAATTGAGTGGGGGATTTCAATAATGTTTACGTGCAGCAAGCAGACTTTAACCGCTTCATGAGCAATAGGCACTGTGCGCCGATGAAGGAATCTTGAGGTGTGCATAACTAAATAAATAAATGGAGCAACACCCCCTTTTTCTAATATCATATTTTTAAAGTAAAAGAAAAAATCTTTCAAGCTTTCTCCTAAAACCAATAAATAGTATTCTAGCTCAGTTGTTGTGATAACCATAAGCATAGTCATTAGCCCTGTAAAAAATATAACAATCATATTCCGGCAAAAAGTTTCCTTTTACACACATCCGTTTGCGAACACATGTAGAATACAATAAAACCGCATGGAAAGGGTTAAAATCGAGCTGCATAAGAAATAAAAACCTATCTGTGTTCGATGCTGTTGTCATGAGGTGAAGTAACCATATTCTAACACATAGTCTTGGGTTATTCTAGGTATCGGCAACTCTCGTACCTGCTGGCGGCTAAGGTGCAGAACATCGCACATGTACGAGCGTATTAGGTGCTGCAGCATGGGCACTTCGTAGGGCTGCATGAGCGGCTTGACAAGGTATGGGTGCATGCCCCGACGATGCTTGGTCTTGCTTGTCATCACCATTGCCCAGTCGATGAGTTCGATGACGGACGGCCGTAGCCGCCGCCAACTCAGCGTCTCTGCTACTGGCTGGGCGGTGCGGGCTAACTCGTCGTGGTCCGACGGATGGCTGAACTTGTAGCCAGACTGTGTGTCGTAGGAGTCAATCAGGAAGTGTTCAGCGGTGCCATTAAGTACAACCGACACTGCATACAAGTGATGAACATGCGAGGAGTCGTAGAGTAGAAATGTTCCATCCGGTTGATCGATCAACTTCTCCTTTGCGGCATGTTCAGAGATTGGACCCCAGTAGTAGCCACACGTCGATAGCTGTTTCATGCTTGCCAGAAGGCGGCTACCGCGCGTTTGAACACTCTCGTAACTAGGACTCCTGTCCTCGTCTTTTTGACCGGAGTTTCGTGAATCGGAAACTGATGCATAATCACCACTGCTCGAGTCGATCAGGTCGTGAGGCACACCATACTGGGGCTCACTACTGGCCCATGTAGTATCTTCTGTAGAGATAGCCGGCTCGGGAATATCACCATAATCGAGATAAAGACGAGGTGGCAGGTGGGGTGCCGGCTCCTCGTCATCGCGGTCTGTATCATTCACCATGCTGTCAGAGGCCGCCGCATTCACCTGTTCCTGCCTCTCTTCCCTCAGTGTCGCAATGATCGTCGCATAGGTGTCGTCCGGTATTTCCTTCTCCCGGTCAAGTGTCTTCTTGGGTACTTCCTCAGCATCTGGTGTGCTAGAGTCACGGCTTTCTATAGGCACCAGTTTGCACGTGCTGTCCCCATCACCAAACTTGACAAACAGCATTCCATAGTCGTAAGGTCGCTGCTCTTCCACTCCTAAAGATCCCTGGAGGCCACTCATGATCACACACGCTCCGTGATGAGCTACCCGTATAGGGACACACAGTCACGACCCTACCCCAATAGCGATAAATAAGCAGGAAAACGCACAACACGTACTAGGACATACTGTGACTATCACATGTGCTGATGGGTTACGTCATGCACAAAGGTCCGACCTGTCGGATCTCGGGGAGCCGAAAAATAGTCAGGAATGAAACTCATGGCAGAGCAGCATCTTTGTTCAAGCTCCGAAGCCCTTTCGTGCGGCTTATCGTGGCTGCTACACGTATAAATAATTATTATAACCAATCTGAAACACTTAGGCCTGCTTCACACAAAAAAATGTCAAGAAGAAAGCACCTGACTAGAAGGTAAAAATACAACTGACTATGTCACTTGCGGCTGCATAGGTTTCTCGATAAGCTTTGCTAGGAATTAAGGTCATATCAAATCAAGATGTGCTTCCGGATTCCTCTGACCATAGCTACCAGCATGGATCCCTTCGCCTCCAGCTAGCTCCACATGAACTGATGAAGCAAAACCTAACAAAGTATTAAAAATTCATGAACATTTTTTCGTTTCCCGCGGTTGCAAAATCTGTGTATGGGAAAGCGTATATGGGAAACTGTGTATGGGATCCCGGGATCGCGGGAAACGACTCAAACGAGGTAACGTTACGTCACGATCACGTGAACGAGCAGTAGAGCTACGTCATCAAGCTCCACCTTTATTTTTGAATTTTTTTCAAAAAAAGTAATGCCGTATTTCCGCAAATAAAAGGCCGTCCTCGTATACAACGCCTTCCTCGTATACAAGGCCGGGGCAGGGGGCGATTGAAAAAATAAAAGACCGTCTAAATTTCACCAGTTGTAGTCTTCGGGGTGCTGAGTCGAATGGTCTTGGTCCGAGAAAGCTGAGACGCTCCCTTCCTACTTGAATCCCAATCGAACTCGCGCACATCCACCGAAACTGGGTGACTGCGCCCTACTAGATGGGGATTTGGATGCAAAATGTCACTAAAAGCGCCATTTCGTTCTTATAAAAGCACGGATGACCACGATTGACCCATATGTTGTAGTCTTTTGGACGCTGAGTAGACTGGTTTTGGTCCGAAAAGGCTGCGATGCAGCGTTCCTCCTTTATTCCCAATCGAACATGGTTGAACAAGCGGTCACGTGCTCCTGCGTACACCAGTCAGCTGGTCACCATGCCTGCAGGGTACAACTTCTCGTGTCCGACGGGTGGATTTCCGTCCATTCGTCACAACGAGGTGAGGGACCTCACTGCTCGTCTGCTCAGGCGGGTGGCCCATCAGGTGGCAGTTGAGCCACACCTCCAGCAACTCCGTTATCGCACTGCTATTGCTGACGACCAGGCACGCCTAGACGT